GTTTCATTTACAATGATCGGAAGCAAAACCTTCTCTAAACCCCCTATTTGAACGAATAGCACACCATTGTCAATTTGGTCAACCATATGATACAAATTGTTAAGTGCATCCATTTTCCATTTTATTTTATGTTCTGGTTCCATTACATATGAATCCTGAGTAGTTACGTTCACAACATTCTGCACAATTTTCGTAATTATTTCAGCATCAGTTTTAAAGTGTTTACGCATTTCATCATAGGTTTCTTTAATCATTTTATAATCTTTTTTTATTTTTTGAAAAGCTTGCGGCGAGTGTTCCACAGCCAAAGCATCTCTTGGTGCTCTCTTTAATGCGTCAGAAAGTAAATGTTTGGTTTTTGATTTTGTGGGTGATTTGGCGTCGGATGGTGAAGAGGTAGAAATAGCTTCTTCTGGTAAAGCAGAGAGTGCATGGTTTTCACTTTTATTGGATTCCTCACTGTCATTATTTTCAAGTAGCTTTGCTTCTTTTTTCAATGTTGTTAAATTTATACGCACATGGAGACCGGGTGGTATTTTTTGACCTATAAAATTTAAATAATGTTATGCTAATCACTTAATTCACAATGAAATCACTTTTTATATATAATATACCTTCTTTTATTTCTTGCCATTCTTTCGTTGCAACAAACGTATTATTATCTGATTTATTTGCACCCAATGATCCCAACACTGCGAATATTAATACTATTTTAAGAAAGAGAGACTTCATGTTGATTGTATGTTTAATTGTTTACGACTAATAATTTCACAAGACATTTGTTATTTAAATAATTAAATTTGTATGATGTACATATACGTGTCGTTTGCAAATAAGAATCAGTTGTTTTCTTGACAATCGGCATTTGTCCAAATGTAAACAAAAACAAATGTCGGTTTCGTACGAATTCGAAGTTCGAAAAATTTGTACAGTACGTTCGAAAATAATGTACGGTAAATTATTTTAAAGACTCCCGAGACCAAAGCGAAGCAAAATTCTGCATTAGTAATATACGTGTGAACATCTTGAAACAAATGTTTATTATATATCATATTTTTTTTATAGTTTTTATTTTTTATATAGTAAATGAAATTAGATTTTATACATTATTTTGAAAGAATGGTGGAAAATATACAAAATTAGGTATGAATAATATTATGAATAATTATATATGAATAATTTTCAAAGAGTAAAATAAACATCAAATTTTGAGGAAAAGAAATATGGTAAAAAATGTAAGAATTCACAAATTTTTTAATAAATTTTTATAATAGCTCTTGTAATAATTAAATCGAAGATGCCATTTTATATAAAAGAATTAATTTTATTTTGAAGAAACGCAGCTCACGCGTTATTCTGCGTCTACACTGGTTAGACTTTGGCATAATTTCTATATACACGCTCAATTTTTTTACAAACAAATTTTTGTTTGAAAGTGAAATTCAAAAATACATTTGCATTTTTTTTGCATTTGAACTTAAATCTTGCAAAGATCTAGCTAGTGTAGGTAAGATTTTTAATATGATTATAATATATATTAGCTTTACATATCAAGTGGAAGTGGACTAATACACTTTAATACCATTTTTCCAGAGCTTACTTAGTAAGTTACTTAAATAAGTTTAAGATTTTATCGTCTCCATTAACATAAGTTTCCATTGAAAAAGTTTTTATGTGTTGACAGTTCTAAGAGAGCTTCTGTTGGTTTAAATAAACTTCACTTAATAATATATTCCACAATAAATTAAATATATAATTGATATTTTAATTCTTTTCTATATATATATATATGTATATATATCTTATATATCCATTACATATTCAATTAATAAAAATAAAGATTTTACTAAACATTTACTTCTCAATGCATTTATTTATAGCTAAACTCTTGCTTGTTTAAATTTTAAATATAAAACATATGAAAAATATTTTAAAATTTATTTTCAAGTGTTGCATATATAATTTTCGTTACTTTTATTTGTATGGTTAACAAAATTTGCTTAATAAGTTACATTTATTAAGTTAACAGCGGAAACATACTATGGACTTGCATTTGATAGAATCTAACAAATTAATTGTTTATAATTTGCTATAAGTAATGTATGACTTTGTGTAACTTTTTCTAATCAAAAACAACACTTTTTATATAATAATTGCATTCTTATATGTTTATTAAAAACTTGTAGCTAAGCACATTCTAAAACAGTTAATAATTAAAACTATAATACAAGAATTGTTACTTCAATGATAATATTACTCTTAGGAAAAATGCGTCCGTCATTGGGTCATTCGCTCTCACGCTTATTTGATAGACTCGATTTTATTATATATGGTGCAACTGGTTTTCATGGCAAAAATACTGTTCTTATGGCTGCGAGTATGATATGTTCTGGGAAATGGGGTTTTGGTGGACGTGATAAGGTGCTTTCACAAAAAATTTTAAATAAACATTAAAAATTAAGATAAACTTATTACACTTATATTAGGAAAAACTAAATAATCTATTACTCGAAATCAATGGTAAAAACGAGGGCAGTTATAAGAGGTGCAGAGTATTCATTGCAGATACATCGAATACAACTTCTCTCAAAAAGATGACATCAAAATGCCAGGTAACACATACACCGTTTCTCATTACAGGATTTCAATCCTCTTAAGAATTTGTTGTATATTACAGGTGCTTATAAATTGCTGCGGATCATATAACCGCACTGCAGAAGATATAATAAAATCATGCCTTTCAACTCGTACTCATTACGTAGATATATGTAATGATGTCCATTTTTTGGAATTATTACAATTGAAATATCACGAAGAAGCAAAGAGACGAAACGTATACATAATATTTGCCTGTGGTTTTAAAGGTTTACCAATGGACGTTGGCTTTAACTTTTTAAGAGATAACTTTGATGGTATTCAAAAATTTTGCTGTCATCGCTAATATCACATTTTATGTTCATTTTTATAACTATTTTTATAGGTACTGTGAATTCTGTAGAAGCTCACACTCGTTATGATACCACTGCTCCAATCATATGCCAACCAATTATATCTGCAAGTTTATGGGAGAGTTTTTTGAAAAACTGTAGTAGAATTTTTCGAAGTTTTAGAGCGCATCACATGGCTAAAGTGCGAGAATTTCGAAATCTGGAACCAAAAACCACTTTTAGGTAAACGTATTTTCTTTTGGTTAAAAATTACATTGTAAATGATAACATTTTTAGATTTGGTATTCATAAGAACCGTGTCATTGGTGGGCACTCTGCGGCTTATCCTTTTTTGGATCAACAAATTGTTGAAAACTCGCAATACTATATGTATAAAAAGGATCATAAGAGACCAATTCAAATAAATAACTATATTGCTTTCCGGCTAGTTCTCTTCCTTACGACCTGGTTGAGCATTTGTTCTAATTGTTTATTCTTTTCTCTCTAGATATTTCATTATGACATTGACATTCATTATATGGAACGTGACTTTAGCTGTGCTCTGTCGTTTCCAATGGATGCGAATTTTTTTGTTGAAATATCCGCGCATTTTTTCTCTTGGTTATGCGTCACACGATGGCCCCAAAGAATTCTATTCTGAGAATTTAATATTTGACATAACATTAAATGCAGTTGGTTGGTCTAGTATAGATGATGAGGCAAACTTAACTAATACACAGTTTCTCAGTCAGTGGGGTCTTCCAAGGAAACGAATGACTATAAAAATACAAGGTAATAATCCCTTCTATAAAGCAAGCCCTCTTTGTGTTTTAGCAAGTGCTTTAACAATTTTACGTGAACGTGATTTTATGCCTTCATTGTAAGTATTGTATTAATTATTTTTTAATAAAAGAATATTTTCATTTCTGGCACATATTTATAGAGGTGGCGTGTATTTTCCGGGTGCTGCATTTGCTGAAACTAATATAGTGACTCTATTGGAAAGAAATGGAACTGGAATCATTTTTGAAGTTTTGAATTGAAAAGCTCAATTTCTTTTCTTGAATAATTAGTTAACATGATTTTATGTATATAAAATATATCTATATAGTATATTATATAAATACATATTGTTTGAATAAATATCGATAAAATGTTGTTAAAAAATTAAAATAAATCATGGATTGTGTGATGCAACTGTTGTTCCAACTGTGGTTGTAGTCTGTGATTAATGGTTGTTTTCTGAGGCTAACGGTTATGGTAGTACTTTGAGTGAGAAAGATGTATAAATATTTTGTTTTTTTTATTTATTAATAGTGGTAGTTTAGTTTATAAAACTAGTACTAACATGTATAGACATAGCTCTGGCTATCGAGGCCTTCATCTATAAATATAAAATCCTTCACTTAAATGTTTAAAAGCAATTAAAGTTGAATAATAGAATAAGAAAGAGATAAACATAAGCAACTTGGGCGCGTTAAAAAATTTTCAAGATATTCGACGTCACAACGTTGTCTAGATAGCATTGTTATTGTAGCACAATGTTCTGTCAGATTTTTTAGGAATTCAGCATGTATAATTAATTCGGGTACATGGTAAACCCGTTAAAGTTGTATTTACTTATTGATATAACTCCATTTTTTTAAGATTATTCTTTATTTATTATATGACCGATCGATAGTCACTTTTAATGTTGACCAGCTTCAACTTAACTAAAATCTTCTGGCAAACTGATATTTCATCATCGGGTTTAAAATTTATAGATATTTTACATCAGTTGTTACAGATCCGTTCACTACAATTACCGAATTTTTTTTTTTTGTTCATATAAAAAAATTTTCTTAGTAGTATTAGGCTTTAGTACGAGTTTTTTTTTTGGTTTTTAGATAATTTACATACCACAAGTAATCGTAACTTCGATTGTTATTTTACTTGTTCGGTGCATTTCGTTAGCAATCTGAACGACCAAAATTATAATTACTTCAGCTATGTGAATAACCTTTTTCTAATACAAAAATCTTCTTTTAACATAATTAACTTTCGTCTCGCTCTGGTTGTGCTTTCACAAATAAAATCCAATACATACTTAATTTTTTACTTAGAATTTAATTTTAATTATGGTTTTACATTTTTCGCTTAATATTGTATATACATTTATAAAAAACTGAAATAATAGTGACATATTTTTATACTTCCACAGTACATGCTATTTTTCTGTGTTCATAGTAAATATTTAATTTGTGCTTATATCTAAAATATACAAATGGATTTGTTTTGTTTCTATTTAGTAAACTATTTCTATTTAGCGTACTAATTTAAACTAAAATAGTGAAGATGCTTTTTGTTTTATATATAATTAATAGATTTGAATCATAATTTCTACAAAATCCCATTGATTTTAACTTGGACAGTTTACCGTAGTACAGTATAGCGCGGTATAAACTTATGCTATTGTGAATGGTTTTGAGGAATGAATGAAATTTTTATACAAAATAAAACAAAACTGTGTATATATAGCATATGTATGAATTATAAGTGCAAATAATGTATGATATGTGCAAAATAAATTGTGAATGTAGTTAATATATATGGACATTTGATAAATTTGACAGTGAAATTAAAATGATTCGTTGTTTGAATCGATATTTTTACTTTTTAATTTCAAATGTTAGTTCTGAATTTTTGACAGTTAAAATTATAATCAAAAACCTTGTGTAAAACCAATATTACTTATTAGTTGGTTGAACGTAATTGTGATTTCGCACATTTTCGTAAAATATAAACTACCCAGTGTAATTATGAGTAACTTTGTTTTGTAATGTACCAGTATTGTGTTGTACAGTACATATGAAGATTGTATGCCAAGCAAGTTAGCCAAGCAACATATGATTTTTATTTTGAGTTGTCAAGTTGCATAAACACGACGCAGTTGAAATTTTTCAGTAAATATCGGAAGTGAGTGAGGAATTTCACAACAAGTTCTAATTAATTGTTCTTATTTGAAATTTATTATAAATTCGATTGTAAAAATGTCTTTGGCACGTGTTAATGTTTCACGTTTATTGTTTTCGCAAATAAAACGTGCACAGAGCGTACCAGCGCGTCTCTATCATGAAAATGTAAGTAATTAAATTAGCCGGGGCCATTAAACGCTAAAGCAAAGTTTATGTTTATTTTTGACAGTAGTATTAAGTATATTTTTGTTTGCGATAAGATTATTTAAACGTGCTTTGAAGTGCATTTGTAAATGAACTAATTTCGTGTATTTTTTGTGGTTGTTGCTATGTTAGGTGGTTGAACACTACGAGAATCCACGTAATGTTGGCTCACTTGACAAAAAGGATACCAGCGTTGGTACTGGCTTAGTGGGTGCTCCGGCCTGCGGTGATGTTATGAAGCTGCAAATCAAGGTTGACGAAAATGGTAAAATTATTGATGCCAAATTCAAGACATTTGGTTGCGGTTCTGCTATTGCCAGCAGCTCCTTGGCCACAGAATGGGTGAAGGGAAAAACTATTGATGAGGCTGGCAAGCTAAGGAATACCGATATTGCCAAGGAATTGCGCTTGCCCCCTGTTAAATTGCATTGCTCCATGTTGGCTGAAGACGCTATTAAGGCTGCTTTGGCTGACTACAAAGTCAAACAACAAAGCAAGAAGGAACAGTAAACTGTTGGAAGCTCGAAGTCGCTGTGCACTTTGTTGCTTCAATAGTTTTTTTTTGTTAATTTTAGTTTACATACAAGGAGGGTACAAATATGCAGGAAATATATTATAAAGTTTAAGACGGCAGGTTATTTATAAAGGTAAGTTCCTTTTTGTTTTTATTTATCATATATAAAAAATAAAAATATTATTATCTAAGACATTTATTGGAAAGCTGCCTAGGATATTTATTTTGTTTATTTATGGCGCATTTAGGACTGGGAATGCACTTAAGTGAGAAGCACTTATGCGGGAATTGTTGTATATTACGGTGTCGAGGAGTGTGTGTGATTTATTTGTTATTGATTTATTTGATAAAAATATTCAAAAGCATTGATTATAGAGAAGAGATTAGAAAATATTGATAAATATGTAGTTATCATTAATTGTTATTTTTAAATTTTGCAAGTTATTATTAAATTTAATCATATATGGTAGCTATTATCAATAATGCATTAATATAAATGCGAATGTGTCTTTAGTGCGATTAAATTTGTTTAAGAACATTTGGACTATATATTGTTTTATAACTTTATTTTATTACTATATTTTATTTTATTATTTTATTTTATTATTTTAATTTATTATTTTATTTTATTATTTTAATTTATTATTTTATTTTATTATTATTTATTTGTACTAGTTTTTACTTTTATTATATTTTTATGATTTTATTACTAAAATAATTATTTTGTTGTATTGTCTCTAGTTGGTCAACTACTTTTAATTATTGTTACAAATACAAATTAACAAAAATAACTTAAATTATTTCACACTAATTTTTATTTCATTATCATTATTTCCAACATAAACTAAAGTTTCCTAAAGACGACTTAAAATTAAAGTCGAAATATTGAGAATTATATAAAAATTTATGTGATATAATTTAATTTCTTTTAATTAATTTTTATTTATAACAATGGTTAAAAGTAATTAGCCCAATACAACACAATAACAATGTTTGGAATGGAATTGTTTAGTGCAAATTCTAAAATTAGGTAGCTGAAATATAGAATAAATCATATTAAAGTTTGTTCTTTGAACTATGAATCCATATGACGTGTTTAAGAAAGCAGCACCTCCTTGAACATGAACTCACTTAAAATAACGGAAAGCATATCCATTAAGAATGTATACTTAGCCCTATACGAACTAAATAAGTTCTATATAAGCGGTTATATTAAATTGCTGGAGATTAATTTAATGACTGTGCAAATTTTGTTTTGTTTTTTTTTATTTCACTGCAGCACTTAAATGAAAGCGATTTTGTTGTTAATGATTGTTCAAATATACTTATTATAAAAAAATTATCTAATTAAACGATAATCGTAGTCTACAATGATGTAATAGTTATTTGGCGGTTTGTAATTAATTAGTGTGAGAATAAAATTTTGCAAACCAGTTTTAGGACTGGTATTTATTTTATCAGAGTATAAATATAATAATATAATAACCTAATATAATAAAAATATAAAAAATCCTAAATTTAATTAGACTAGAATAACTTCAGTTTTATATGAAAATTATTTTTTTCATATTAGTTTTTATTACTAATACTATTTTAACATTTTCTGTTGATTGGTTCTCATGATTAAGTGTTATGAATTATTGGACTTTACCTTTGGACTCATCCCATTGAAGTGGACAGATTTCACCGTCTGAACACAGGTTAATGTTCAATAAAATACCACCAACCCTACGTCACCCTCAACCAGTACCCATCCACTTTTCTACCCATGTAATCTTCTGTATGTCATTTTATGTTATCTGCTTACAGGTTCCAATGGGTTTTAACAACATTGCATTACATTTACTTGAGCTATTAATTTGTAGAATGCTCTATTGCATTCTATATATATGTCAAAAATAGTTTGTTGTGCTCTAACAAACTATTTAAACGAGTTGACTCTAACTCATACTTATAGAGTTAAACATTCATATTTTTATGGTGTTCATACTTTACAGCATTTTCCCAAGGACTGGAAAGGGGTAAGGATTAAAATACGAATTCTCCTAAAGACTAAAAGCATTTTATCCTTTGAAAAGATTACAAGAATTACAATGTGAATATATAAGTTAGGTTGTTATTGTCTGAACTTAGAATAAACACGAGGGCGGTTTGATAAGTCAGTGACTTTTTGAATAAAACAAATTTTTTTCAGAAAATAAACATTTTATTTTTCTACATTATCTACATAATAACCTTTTAGTTCGATACATTTAGTCCAGCAGTTTTCTAATTTTTTTATTCCCTCAAAATAATAGGTTTTCTCAATGCTCTCAAAATACGCGTTTTTATCGGTAATGACTTAATTTTAGAATATATTACTTTAATAATAAATAATTTCAACCTAATAACTAATTAATATCTATTCATATGTATATATATTTTTTGATTATAATTTAAAATAATAAATTATTTTCCTTTACAGAATTTGCTGACACCTTACATATTCGGCGATGCGGCAAAATTTTAGTATTCAAATAAAATATTGGCTCTTGGCTTATAACTTTTAACTATATATTTGCGAAACAATACTTACTCATATATTATTAAATCAAAAAAGCAAAATAGATTGTAGAGAAAATTGGTATGTATGAACGAACTATGCAATTAGAATATATGTCTACTAACGACTAAAATGTGAAACTAAAAAGATGAGCCTGATTTTTGTATAAGAATGTTAGATTTAGAGCTATAAAAACATAATTTAAATATTCAAGTTAATTATTTTTAAAATAAATAAAACACTCATATTATTCAAAGCAAAAATAATTGTTTATTTCGTATATGTTAATGTCATAGTGTCATTTATAATAAAATTGGTACATGCATTCGCAATTCCACAATTTGTGGATATGTGCTAAATTATGTCGTCTAAGACAAACGTACACTCACGTTGCCAGGGCATTCTCCATTGGATTTCTTTTCAAATTCTGTAAAACAAAAATATATGGTTATAATATTTCATGAATTTATGAAAAATAATTTATTTTTATTTACGATCGTCGCTGTGTGCACAATTGTAGTTGTCCATAACACATGGACTGCCAAATGTGAGTAAACGTTCCTTGGTACCAGTCTTAGCTTTGGCGCATAAGGGATCATATTTGTCTCCACAGTCCTTCGAGCAAGTGGGAGCCTGTTTCTTGTTATCCTTAGCAGGAATGCTGAAAGCAACAGCTACCAAACACAGTACTGTGAAAATAAAATTTATTAATCAATTTTTTTCTTACAATTTGTATTTATGCATTAAATTTTGTATTTATGCATTAACATTTTCTTTAATTTATTATTTTTATTTTTCTTATTATTTATCACACATAAATTTATTTTTAATATTAAAAATATTTTATTAAAAGTTTCTAACAAAAAATATTTTTTCCATAATTTTAACGGGACTCTAATTTTCCTTATACTCATTTGCTACCTATGGAGATCTATATACATAATTAGCAGGTGAATTAAATGGAATTACAAATCGAATACTTCAGTTAAAATGTGGTTGGTTGAAGGTATAGTGATAAAAAGGGTTGTTTGGAAAATATGGTAGGGATAAGAGCATGGATAATTGAAACTAGTTTGACTCGAAGAGAAGTACTTGGACATTTCAATGGGTCAAGGACATAGATCAATAACTCTTAAATTAGTGTGTGCATTAGAGCAGAAGAAGAGCAGAAGAGAAAGGCGACATAATTAAGAAATTGCAATTTCCAATTTATGTATGACAAGTAACTGTTCAGTATGTGACGATATACTGATCATATTTTAACTAGGACATTTCTTACTACATGAGAAAGGCATTTTTCTTCTGTACACAAACAATAAAGAATAAGATAAAATAGTATCTTCCTTCTTTAAAGATATTAGGCGAAGAGCTCTTGAGAACTTTGTTGGTGTGCACCCGATATTACTATATCTCGATATCTCGATGTTACTTTGATATTGATGGTAGTTAGCTCTCGTTTGTGTTCGATCTTTCTGATGATGGCATTGCTTTGAAATTTGTAGAACTGTTTTTCAACTTATTTGGACACTATTCGAGTTCGTGTCTCGCAAAGCTGTTTATTTCGGAGCAGGATAAAGCGTGTCATCACTTTATATATATCCAGAGTATGTTTATCATTAGCAGGGTTTATGTGTTTTTAGCACATTATTGTAGAATTATTGTTGCGGATTTTAAGTTGTTAGTTTTTATTAATCAAGTTTCCTATCAAGTTTGTTTTCTATAAATTTATTTACTAAAAATTATTTAAATTCATTCATTATTAATTAATTAATTTTTTTAATAATTTTATTTCACAATTAAATTACATAATCACAATGGGCCAATAGGTCTAAGTGGATCCCGAAGAGAGAGCTGGTATGGCCTAACCTAAATTACATTATTTGTAATTAGATCTATGAACCCTGTTTGCGATATATTTATTTGAAATGAATTCTTTGCTTCATTTTTGTTTACCTTTTTCTACAAACCTACATATGTATTTTGAACTTTGTTTTCTAATTGTTTATATAATATTATGATGATATTATATAATATGATATGATCAATATTATTATTGTTTTTGCATGAGTTCTGCCCAATTGAGCACGTAAATAAGATTTCACAAATAAAAATTTGTATATACATTCAATGTATGTATAACACAATAGATCTCATAGGTCGTGGGGTATCATTCTCATTTCTAATAATAAACTTATATATGTGTATGTGCATGTGTATTGTATATATTATCGAAAATTAAATGTTTAATATTTGTTTTAATATTTTTATATTGTATATATTGCCAGTCTAATCGAAATCACATAATAAACTTCTTTTTGTCTTAATGTACAATGTATGTTATGTATATATGAAAATTTATCTCTTTTAATGACTTGCCTTATTTCTACTGGTGGGCATTGAACTTGATAAGACTTCAATATTATAAAATAAAAATGAATAGGTTTTTATGATAAAACATTACTCAATGAAATGCAAATTTATTGTTCGTTTCTGATTGCTGTCTTTATGGGATTTGTAAACAGTAAAGATAATTGTATATATTTATTATTATTTTGAAAAACGAGATATCACTTTTTCTGTGTAATAATTAGAGAAAAATTAAATATTTCATACAAAAGAATTAGTTTTAAATTTTTAACAAAGATCTGCGTTAATATTGGTATAAATTAACGAAACATTTCGTTAAAGAAACTTATTTTTTACTAGCAAACAAATTTTCTGTCTACGGTAACACAATGAACCAATGCGTCTAATGGATTGTCGACATACCCTAACCTAACCTATAGTACTAAAAGTAAAAATAAAAAATAAAAATTATCATACCTATAATTTTATTATCTTATATTTGTAAAATGTTTCCGTTCTTGTGTCATTAAAATTAAGATTTTTCTAAAATTGCAAGAATCTCATATTTAAGTTGGGTAGTATGAAGAACGTAACACTAAATACCTAGTTAATTCATAAGGAATTCAATGGTACAAAATAGCCGACAATCTTCTAAAGGAGTATACCCTAATTACTTCAATACTCAATACTTCAATTACTCCAAACTTGTTGCGGCGTATTCTCTTATTAGATTGCAACAGATTAAACAGCTAATTCAAGTCAACAAAAATGTTGACTGGTTCCTTAGTCTAAACAGATCTGAACTAAGATTAACGTGTTTCCTAATTGGACATGCTCATGATAACCATCACTTTACAAAAATGGCATTAAAGGACCCTAGCACCTATATATATTGTGAAATGCAGATTTAAATGTTCGTCTATCTTAGTTGCTGGTGCGCCGTCATTATCAGGAAAGCGGTGCAGTATCTCAATACAGCTTCCATTAAACCGAAAAAGATTATGGATCCTGAACCAAAAGATTTTATTATGTTTAATAACAGTCGTAATTTGTATAGGTTAGTTTAAAAAACTCTTTCTAGAGATAACACAATATATTACTTTGATCGAGGTGAACTAATTTTTCATCTTATAATAATAATTATAAATACCTAGCAAAGTATAAAAAATTGCATGTTTAAGTATAGATAGCTTTAAAGAGACTGATAGCATTTATCAGCATAAAGTTCCTCAAATTAATAACTTTAAGTACGAAATTTAGTTGGCTGATTTATAGAGACTATTTTAATCACAAGCATATGTATGTTTATTGCAGTGTCTTCTTGGAACACTGTAGAAGACACTACACTTATCTTCTGGGTAACCCAAATATATAACAAGGTCTCCAGACAAAATTAATTTTAAAGCACAATTTTCTTTACTAGAAAATATGGGTTGATATAACGAGTCCAGTTCCACAGTGTTCTTGTGGAAACTATACAAGTTGAAAATACAAAAACAGTTATATTTAACCTCATTAAAGTTAAATCTGAAAGTTGTTACAGCAACTTTACTGTTAATAAGTGAGAAAAAGTTTTCTGGAAAAATCAGTTCCACACATTTTTCGACCTAACTTCTTTCGGGATGAGAATGTTTCTAAAAATATAATTATTAAATACAAAAAATATGAAAACCTAAAATATCTTAAGATTTTTAGGTGTTCAAATTAAAAACCTCAACTTCATTGTATTATAGTAATCACTTTTATAAATGGATTAACCTTTTATTGTTATTACGGAACGTTGAAAAAATCGTTCATAGAATTCCGAAAACACATTAATATATATATCTTTAGAACTCGAAAATTTCAACAATTCTTAGGCTATCTATCAAATATATAATAGAATTGTGATAACTTCTTCCAAACCTCCGAGATAAAATTTTATTTTTTTAAGGTCAGAGTGAAAATAATAATTGAGTTGTTGTCAAGATGTTAGTTTACGTTTAATAGTCTCATGCTTATGGGGACATTAAAATTGACACTTCGAGACACTACTTTTCCCATCTGTTTGCCAGGAAGATGGGAGCTATACTAACCATTATGTTGCTATTAGTGATTTTACATATTTCAGTTCGTTCAAAAAGGTATTTCATTTTATGCAATATATGTATATATCATATTCTTATAATTTGTATTATATTAATATATACATATATGTTTGTACATATACATTCATATATGTATATAGAAATATGAAATTGTTGTTACTCAGATAAAATAGGAAAATATCTTGAGTGCCTTGTAATCTTTTCATATTTTATAAACACAACTATTTTTAGATATAAATCACTTTTATCTACAATGTATAGTAATAAACAGATTAGGATTAATACAACTTCGCATAACATAGATTTACGAAGATCAGATTATTCAATAATTGTGATGGAATTGTAATTAAAATTTAGAATAATTTATTTTTAAAATATTTTTTTATTTTGTTGATTCGATATGTAGACAATATGACAATGTTGTTTTGAATTTTATTGATTTCATTAAAATAGGAATATCTTAAAAGTACTAATTTAAAAATTACCAAGTAAAGCACAGAGTGTGAAACGCATTTTTTTATTAGAAATTATGCAATAATAAATTAGTCACAAGCTAATAAACGAAAATCAAAATATTTATAAAACCGGATCGGTACTGAGAAGTAGATAGCTTAGAACGCACGATAATCAACTAAACTCTCGCCTAGATTGTAAAACAAATTTATAGGCACCGTTTTGCGGTCACCCGAGATCACGAAGTATAGATTAATGATGCATTGTGTACCTAAGCTGAGGTAAATTAGTTAAGAACGCTCTTCGCTGCTAATATATAAGAGATACACTAGAATACCAAATACATAGATGAGAGCCGATTCTGTATAAATGGAAGAATAAAAAATTGACCGACAAGTGTCTGACTGATACACATCACTGGCCTCCAGCTGGTCGCTTAATTTATTCAAAACCGTAATTATCATGATTTTTTTCTTTTTTATTGTTGGCAATAAAAAATGATTTAAATTCGCTGAATTCTATTGTAAACAAACATTAAAAAGTGAACAATAAATGTCAAGCACATAAAAGGATTTATAATCGGTCATATGGAAGCTAAGCTATCCGTTTATATCAAATATTCAATCACAGCTTGCGAGAAGTTAATATTTAATTAAAACTAATTTGATAGTAATTCTATCAGTCAAATACATAATAAATTGCATTATGAAATAATTATAAGGGGCTCTACTTTTTTAAGCAGATGTAGGCGGGACCATTTTGTATGAATTTATTGAATGGATTGAACAAATTAGTTTCTACAATAATGGAGTGTTTTAAAGTAACCAATTTTTGGATTGTATAAGGATAAAATAATTTAAATTAAACTTATTGATATATGTTAATATTTTCTATAGACTTTAGTGGGAATTTCAATTTATTGCATTCGATATAACCACCGTCCATTAAAGTCATAGCACTTAAGCTATTTTTATATATCACGTCTAAGTTTATTTGTAATACACAGTAAACAGTAATTAGTTGCAAATAATCTATAATCTTTACAATCTATAAGTATAGTCCATTTCATTTAGGAAGTCCACTAAACAATAAAAAATTACATACTAAGAAAACCGTTGAAATCGGTTTATGATGAATTTTGTTGTTCCGTTACAATCCATCTTAACTGAAATGTACTATAAGAGATTTTTCCAACCGATAATATTTAGTATTAAAATATTGTATAAAATGTCTAATCGTATATACTTTAAGATCGAAAAGGCATGAATGTGTAAGTTATTACTACACATATAAAAATATAATCACAAAAAAAAACAATTTTAAATATTATTAACTTAAAGTCTGTTTGTAAAAGATTACCAGACAAATTCAAGACATGCTCAGAAATCAATATAATTTGAAAGAAAAAAGAATAAATTGCTGAATTAACAGAAATCAAGACATAATCTATAAGTATTACGTAGGGACTAATATCCACTTATTTTTTGTTCTTTCTTTTCTTATACTTATAATTTTCTTCATCTCCCTCACCTGCAAAACTTGCCTTTTCGTATGGTTCTCTCGTCTCCTCATAATGTGAATCTATCAGCGAAGTGTTGTACATATCGAAGCTTTCCTACATATACGAAAACCTTTATCTGTATGTTTATCTCTGTCTTCATCTTCATCTTTATGTAGTTCTAATGAACCAAAACAATCGATTAGAAATGTAGCTAACTACATATAATGTATGCATTTAAATAAAAACTATTGTTTTCTTAAGTACAATAAGCAAATTAGACACTTAGTCAGTTTGTTAATAAAAAAGTTTTGCTATAATTTGCATGTTAATAAAAATTAAAATATTAAAAAATCAACTACTTGGATTTATGAGTTTAAGCTTTTATTTGAATTTATATTAGGAATAATTGTTGACAGTGATTCAACCACAAAATGAATTTGATTAGTAAATTGTGATTAGCTCAGAACACACTTCCATACATACTACCTTTCACCGTTCCATTTTGCAATAATTAAATTTTGCAGTTAAAAAAATAAATAATTTTTATTTAAATTGTTTTGATTTGATATACACATATAGCACTTGTACCATTTTCGAATAGAAGGAACATTTTTCTTGGAATCATTAAATTTTATGGAATAACCGCACTACTATTTTACAAATCGAAAAATCTCAGAGTCTGACCAAAAAAAATTAAGATAATAATATTAAACAAAAGTTTTATCTTATTAAAAAGATAAAGATATTGTTTTCTTAAGTACAATAAGCAAATTAGACACTTAGTCAGTTTGTTAATAAAAAAGTTTTGCTATAATTTGCATGTTAATAAAAAATTAAAATATTAAAAAATCAACTACTTGGATTTATGAGTTTAAGCTTTTATTTGAATTTATATTAGGAATAATTGTTGACAGTGATTCAACCACAAAATGAATTTGATTAGTAAATTGTGATTAGCTCAGAACACACTTCCATACATACTACCTTTCACCGTTCCATTTTGCAATAATTAAATTTTGCAGTTAAAAAAATAAATAATTTTTATTTAAATTGTTTTGATTTGATATACACATATAGCACTTGTACCATTTTCGAATAGAAGGAACATTTTTCTTGGAATCATTAAATTTTATGGAATAACCGCACTACTATTTTACAAATCGAAAAATCTCAGAGTCTGACCAAAAAAAATTAAGATAATAATATTAAACAAAAGTTTTATCTTATTAAAAAGGCATGATGTAATAATAATAACTATACATAAGTTCAAATATTCCTCGATTCATTTTGAATTCAACCCATTATTTTCCATCACTTCAACATCTAAAAAGCAGAGTTTTGATAGGGTTTTGACTTGGAAATATCTTTGAAAGAGATTCGGATAGAGTCAACATCTAAAAAGAAGGTAATCGCTGAAACAAATTGCCTGTTAATGTCTCTACAGAAAATCTATGAAATAATTCTAAGACTAATAAATGATAAAGTCTATTATCTATTACTGAGCTCTTTCATGGTGACAAAAATCACGTAAATAAGTGCTCAAGAGTCACTAAATTAGTTGATGAGACTAGCAGATAGATACACTGAAAATATGTTCCATAATTACGATGAAGGTGTTTCTACAATTAAAATCAATAAAAATCCCTTTCCAATTTCCTAATATCTTATCCTACATGGAGGACTCAAAAGACATCTTTTAAATCTGAAGCTGTTAGGAATAACTTAATTTTTTTATTTTTCCGATATTCGTTATAAAAGCCATTTCCAGTGACTTGAAAATTATTTATTCCAAAAGAATTAAATGAAAGAACTAGGATCTTAAACAGTCTGCAAAGCATACTGTGTTTGGTTTACCGATAAATCAAAACTATGAAAGACAAAATAATGCTATGGTCTGTTAGATCAAAATGCCATTCGTTGTTTTAAAGTCAATTATCGTAAGAGTGTCTTTGGTTATACATGATCAGGATGAGATAATGATCTGGCAAGTTTGCATAAGACTTCACACTAAAAGATGTTGCAATTGTAGCTGTTAATACCTAGAAATCAGCGAAGAAGTTCATATTAAGAAACTGCTAAAAAAATATTTTTGCTATAAACATAAGACCAAAATGTCTTTAGTAGATTTATATAAGACTGAAAATAATGTTGGCGATTTTCAACTAAAGCACAGCCAACTCAATATTGCGGTATCATTACTGACACATCATATATGTCATGTTTAAGACTTGGTTTACTGTCTGACTGTAGGTGGAAGCATCGAAAGCCACCATGTGAGACTTGAACCCACTAAACCACCTCTTAGGAATGAATGGAGAAGATTTCCACAGCATTGTGAAAACGTCATTCCAGTAATCAGAGGAGAGAGGAGAAAAAAGAGATTTAGTACCTAGCGAGCTAGATTTATCTAAGCCAGAAAGCAAGGGCGTACATTAGGGAAATTGGGTTATTAAGAAGGGAGTAGGGTTAGAGCAGATGAACGGAGGCGAGGTTAGCGGTAAACTTTGTGACTGGGGTCACAAAAGCCGTTTCATACAAAAATTACTTCTGTTATGTATTGTGGTGCAGTATTCGAAAGAACAACATCGCAGATTAGGAACAAAGTTGTATGCTAAATAGAGATAAAAGATCGATTTTAAATGCGGAAAAAAATAATTTCGACTTAATATATATAACAACATTGTATAAAATATCAGATAATGCATTAAAAGAATGTGTGAAAGCAGTCAAAAACAACAAAAACAATGTACATAATATGATAAAATTTTCATTTGAACTACTTTTGCTAATCATCAGAAGCATATTCTATATACAAATGTTTAGATAAGATTCAAAGTAGAGGAAGATTGAAAGAAAAACAAAGCAGTTGTCTGCTGTAGTTTTAACATTTGTTTACGAAAGTTTGGTATAGAAGCATAGGTAAGGTTTATAATTAAAAAATTTCAGTGACCTATTAGTTTTCATATAAATCAACAATCTAAAGATGAAAATAACTATTAAAAACTATTTTTACACATACTATGTATAACTTTGATATATGCCAATACATAAGTATAATACTGAAATACAATTTATCAAAAGTTATATATTGCAGCAATCTACAGATATAAGTAACTAAAGCAGAGTATGAGCAAATATAATATAATATAATTAATTTTTACTATGCAAAGTAATACCCCAAGTTTTATAAATTATTTTGGCGCTCTAGAGCGTTAAAACAGTTTCACTATAAGTCATTTTTAGTTTACTACTATAAGCAGTTTTATTACCTATTAACCCTGTGATATGATTCCTTTAACTTCTATACCAGATAGAAAAAATTCGACAGCCTAAAGTACGATTCAATTGTAATTTATAGAAATCAAGTTGATTTTTATTTCGTGTCACAATAGTACAATTTTACACTGATATTGTGAATAATTCTCACAAACTAAAACAAGACAAAACGGACAAAATATTGCTATGAAGACATCTAATATCAAAAGATATGCTGTGTTAACAGGTTCTTAGTGAAGAACCAAGAAAATGATAGCAAAATTAGAATTATTTGTGCTGACAGTAAGGCTATTACACAATTACCATAAAATTATTTTTCAGATTTAAGTGGCAGCTATCAATTAAAAGTAACTTTAAAAATACTAAAGATAGCTATTTTAAAGTTATTATACCTAAAAAAAAAAATTAGAAATAATTAAAAACAATTTTTTTTTTTATTTTCAGTGATTTTTTAAAATATCGTGAATAGTTTATTCTTCCTTTTTATATAAAATCCATTTTATTATCAAAATTATTTAAATTATAAAGCAGGATATATAATTTATTAATTTGTTCAAAATAAATTCGCTAGGAATCGCGAAAAAAATTCATACCTTAGTCAATTTATATAAATATTTAGTTACGTTACTTTAATAAATCATTACGTTATTTCACTAAAAATGCAACCCTGACTTTTTAACTGCAGGTGAGCATTTATCAGATGTTCAATCAGCTGTGCGTTACTATACGTAGCAAGTGAAAAGCAACAAAGCATTTTTCAGCTTTTATAAACAATTTTGGATAAATTTAAAATTTCTGTGGTTTTTATTTAAAAAACTCGTAATAACAAGAAATATAGTGAAAGTTTTATTGTGCCGAAAATATTTTTTGTTGGTTTTCTTTATCAAAATGACCTCACGCAAACGTAGTGGTAGCGGCTCTTCCAAGCGACCAAAAGAAAAAGTTGTTTATATTTATGAATTATTTTTTCGTGGTGAAGATCCCACAATTGATAGTCCGGAATTTTGGAACGAATTTTTCTTATTGCAACCAAATGTAGAATCGCTTGAAGCAGAAGTATCAAAACTTACAAACGAGGTGTTTCCGGTAGTCAGAGATAATCTGAATTTATTGTTCCAAAAATGCATTGAAATGTTAGAAACCGGCAAGTATAGCTTATAAACAACTTACACATTTTTATTGAATTTAGATACTAATACAAAATATATCAATAGATCATCCCAAACGCCTGTGCAACAGTTTGCAAACACTTTGCTCACTCTTCTACGCAATATTCAAAAAGTCAACAGCAGACACAGCATTTGATATACTTAATGAGATTTTTGGTTACGAAAAAATGGACAAGTGGATGAAGGAGCTAATGAATCATTGTAGTCATATATTATTGGGTTTGTAAATACACAAAAAAGTATGCAAAAATAAAACCTATTGATTTGCTATTGTTGTCTCCGCAGGTGATGTCACCGAGAGTGCCCGTTTCATGTGTTTAAAGTTGCTGCTCGTGATTGTTACTGGTACTGATAATGTCAGCCAAAATGTATTACTGGAGTATCTCATGATGCATACATTATTTGATGCATTTGTGCATTTACTTAGCGATCCAACATTACGTGCACAACATGGACATGATATTGTTATTCTGCTCACTATTTTGGTTAATTATCGAAAGCATGAGGCAACTAATCCCTATGTGGTACAATTATCTATATTAGCAGATGAGTTGGCTCTGAATGGGTACGAGTTATATAAACTATTTCTTAAAACAGGCAATAAAATTCGTTTTCTTTTCTTTTAGGTATGGACAAATGATATCACAATCATTAATTGATTTCTGTCGACAGTACATGCAAAGCCTATCGAATGTACAGTCTTCATCATGGTTTTCTTCACTCTCCAATATTGTTGGCAATATGTTTGTTTCAGATGAAGGCTGTGAACGAGTACAACAAATTAAAGCTAATAATGGATTACTTCTAGCTCTTTACGAAGCAGTACATTTAAACAGAAATTTCATTACTACTTTAGCACACACGCAAGCTGAATCCAGTGCGCCTCCTTCTCCCAGTAATACTTTAAGCTTAACACAACCAGTGCCTGATTTGGCTAATGCGCCTATTATTGATATGACACAGTATCCAACAAATTTATTAGTAGCTGTGTTTCAATATTGGTAATTATCTAGAAATTGTGACAACAATAAGCGAATGAAAAATTATGAGGCGTTATTTAAATTTATCATATTTCATTATCTATATTACGTGTGTGTAGGTATTTAATTAATAATGACTCAAATTGTTTTATTTCAGCCACTTAATTGGTTTTTATTTTTAAATAATTATATTTTGTTTTTCTTGTAGTTCGATTGTCATGCAGGATAACAAAAATGAGTCCAGCATAGCTAATCTCAAACTTTGTTTTCTCATACTTACCTGCATATCGGAGGATCAATATGCTAATTCAATGATGCATGACACTAATCTCACTTTTAAAGTTATGCTACATCGTGCCCAGATGCGTCATCGTAAATTACACGTAGATCGTGTAGGGAAATCGCAACCATTGGCTGCTACTTTGCTAGATTTATTAGTTGAATTCATTGTGTCGCACTTAATGAAGAAATTTCCAATGGAACTATATTTAGTGTGCATAGGTGTTATACATCGCATACTGTGTTACCAGAAACGTTGTAGAGTGCGTTTAAATTATCCCTGGAAGGAGTTATGGTCTGCTTTAATAGGACTGCTACGGTTTTTAGTGAATCAGGAACAGACATTAGTTAAGAAATGCAATATATTTTATTTATCTCTGCAGGTGAGTGTTTCATTCTTACGTTAAAAATGTAAATACAGTTAGTTATTTATAATGTTGTTGTTTTGACCTGCTGGGATCTGCTTGTAAGCCATTTTGAGAGGTGTTGTTGAACGATACTTAGTCGTCGCTGGCATCTAGTCGCTCCAGGACGAAGACCCTAATTATTTATAATGTGTTCTTCTAGTTAATTGTTTTAAATTATTTAGATTTCCAAGAGAAATATTCATAAAATATACTTACACATACAATAAGCTTTATGAAACTTATTGTATTTATAATAATTTATATTTTTTTTACTAAGAGACTAGGTAAATTTAAATTTTATAAGAAACTGTTAGGTCATCATGATATTCATACATGTATGTATATGTATATATACATATATATATGCAACTTTTTTTATATATGCATTTTTTCAAAAATGAAAAAATGTAATTTACTTTTATAAATTTTACAATTTATATTATTTTATAGATATTTAAATACAAGAAACTGATCCTTGTATATATTATAATATATATTGTAAAAATATAATCTAATATTTTTATGCAAATTTGACTTATATTGCTTTCTTAGGGCTCTATTGAAGTAGTATTCAGACTGATACATAGACTAGCCAAATCATAATTATAAAGTTAACTTTAGTATTTTAAAAACATTTATGTCTTGCAATATTTTCTTATATGATTGCGCATTTAAAATAAAAACTATTTTCACATGATATAATATTTAAATTTTTCTTTTCAAAACTATAACTAAATTAACAATATTTATGGCTTTGGACTATTGCAGGTAATTAACATATTTAATCTCTTCATAACCTATGGCGACACCTTCTTAGCCACAACAAATAGCTACGATGAACTGTACTATGAATTGAATCGTGAAGAAAAAGTGTTTACAGAAATATATGCAATGGGTATGAAAAATATTTTTAACTTATAAAAAAACATATTTTAACATATATTATAATATATTTTTATTTATATTTGTATTATATTTTTTTTTTTGTTTTGATAGTCCTGCGCTATACAACAATGCCTGATTGTGAATACAAAGATGATGTCATCAAACTACTCAATTCACTAGTGAATATACTAGCTATTGTTAAACATTTCCAAAATAAGATAAAGGAATGGTTATCTGAGCAAGGACTATCAACACCAACTGAAGAACAAATACTTGATGTGGTACGTAAGAATTATGATCTTACACTTAAACTACAGGATTCACTTGACCATTACGAACGTTATGCTGAAGCGCCACATCACACAGCTTTCTTTAAGACTATGGTCCGTGATGTTGTTATAGATACGCGTAAGCATATCTATGGATATGTGAAGGAAGCTATTTCCGTTATACCTGAACAGGACACAATGTTAACTTCAACCACTTCATCCAATACGTAAACAACGAAGCTGGATTTATTAAAAAATGAAGACGAAAAAAGAAACAAAATTATTTTTATTCCTTCAAATATCATGACTGTTTCTCTTATGTATTTTACATATTTAAAAATAAGTATATAATTGCAAATTTTCCTTTTTATAATATATATATGATATATCATTTGTTTTAGTGATTAATTAAATTTTACATTATTTAATGTAAAGCGAAAAGCGAGTTTATTCTAAAATTGTTTTACATAAAATTGAGTTGCATTTCATTTTGTAAATTAAATATCTAGAAGATATAATATATATTATATACACTTTATCATGTTATAACATTAAATATTATATACAGAGATTATAAGATATTTTTTAATATCTTTAATAATATATGTTTTTTATATTTTAAATTAAAAACTAATTAATGGACATACGTTGTCTCAAACATCGTATTAAAGTTAGAGAAAAGAAAATGTATAAAGTCCATTCAAATTAAAAAAAAAATGTTTTACTTTTAATTAAGTTAAATTAAATATAAAATAAAATATTTTATAAGCAATAAAAAATCTTTTTGTGCCGTTACAGATTCATAGTTATATATTTCGCTATTAACGTTAAAACTTCCTTAATGTATCCTAATATTTTATTTTACAAAAATATAACTAAATGTATTTTGATTTTTACATATATATATGTATAATATTAAAATTTTTAAAGCAAATTTCTGTTCTGTGAAATTAAAATATTTAATTAAATTGTTAAACATTGTTCTGGTAAAGTCTAAATTTGACGTAAGAAGTAGTTACAGATGAACGGGCTTGAATACTATGACTGTATCATGAATATTAAGCAATTATTTTGGATACATGATGAAATCAGTACGATGGGTTCTTCGTATGAATATGAAATATTAATAAAAGTATTTTTACTACATATAAGTATGGTTTCTAATTCTTTTTGAGCCGGGTCTAAGCTAATACCATTATTATAAGATGAACCAGATTATTTTATCATAGCTTTACTCTCTTATTTTTAATAGTAAATACTTTGCCTGTATAAGCAAACCTAAAGCGTTGACTTAGTCATTTATTCGCACAGTATTGCGGTGTTATAAGGAGTAGTACTGAGACTATTTTGGTTGTACATTATTGTTTGCTGTCCACATAGGAGCGAACGGCAAAAATTTATTACTTTTAAGGGTTTAGAAATAACTATAAACTCTAGTGAAAGATACTACTAGTATTATTAGGTCTACTTGTCCAAGTTAAAGAGTCGTGCACTAAACAAAATCATATGGAGTTGAGTTGAAAATTATTTATTTATTAACAAAGTTATAAGGTATTTATAAATTACATCTAACTAAAATTTATAGAAGCTATAGCTACTTAGCCTTAAGTTTATTGATTTAAAAAAGAAAAAAGGGTAGGATGACAGTATGATTAGGGCCGAAGTACCTTGTTTTATTTATTTTATTATTTTTTGGGTAGGGAAAGGGTTGACTGACTTCTTTTTCCACTAAACACTTCAATTGTAAGCTCAGATTACGACTCACTATCTATCGGATTTCTTAAAAACGTATTATTGATTTATTTATTAGTTGTAAAAAACTTAAATAATACTTAATTTAATTAAATAAATTAAGTACCTCATCAAGAAGCATAAATTAAATTCATTTCATTGAATATCTTTTCACACAATTGTAATCAATTTTTCATTCATTCATTCATTCATCATTCATCTTTTCTTTGAAATTCAATTTTATTCATGCAATTCAAATTCATTTCATTCAATCGGTTGGGTTCGTTCTTTCGGTCAGGTTTGTGGCCTTCAGGCAAACAAACAATTTTTGTATTAAATTTTGAAAGCGAATTCAACAAAAACACCAGGCGGGCAGAAAGTCATCTAAAGCAACACATGTACGAGTCTCAACACCAAAGCATGAAAGACTAATATGCAACAGGTTTCAGTTGTCAGAGAAAAGTAAATTATCAACATTACTCATGCATTTTTATTTATTTTCCATTTCTTTTACATTCCTGACACTTCATGCGACCCAGCGGTAAATGAAAACGTTTACTAAAAATACAGTTCAATATAAATTACTCATACATATTTCAATTTCTTTTGCACTCATGACGCTTTTTGCGCCCCAGCGGGAAACTAAATGGAGTTCAGTGCAATTGAAATTATTCATATGTACATATTTTTATTTTCAATAGTTTTTGCATTCACAACACATGATGAGACCCAGCAGGAAATTAAAAATTTTATTAAAAGTCAATTCAATTTTAAAATACTGATATATAATTACATTATTTTAAATTTTTTTTATATTTCTGATACTTTCTGAAACATGCTATATTATAAACTCTTGTATAATATTATATATAACGATATTTGTTGAAAATTTTTCAATATATTACTTTACTAAAATGCTGAATTATAAATTACAATATCATTTTTTAATACAATTATATTTTCCTTTAAAATAAACATTTAATAAGTTAATTATAATCAACTTTAACAACTATTAACTATATAAATTATAAACAAAGAATAGTATTTTGTTTTTCAAGATTAGTTTAAATTAAATTATACTATACTAGAGAAATCGACAATACATATAATTTTTTAATTTCGAACGAAGTAGATAATTAAAATGTTAAAATTAAAATTTAACAATTTGTATCATAATTAACTGATACTTATTGTTGTTAAAAGTTGACTTCAATCAGTGTCTTTAATACAATATAAAATGAACACCTACATTTTATATTGTATAATTTATTTTGAAATAGTCCTACTTACTGGGGGTACAAACTTACTTAAATTATATAAAATTATATATATATACTTATTATTTAAAATTGACTCTATAAAAATATTTTCATTAACTTACTATTTACTTATTAACTTAAACTTATTATTTAATACGGTGTAATGATATGTTTTGTGAGATAATTTTATTAAATTTAGAACATTTTTAATGATCATTATTATGAATCACATTATATAAAATAAATACCTTTTTGTTATAATCTATTTGAGTTATAAAATATTGCAAAAACGTTTATATTATATCAAATTTTAGTAGTGTAAGAAAATTAAATCATAAAAATTAATATAATAATTTTCACAAGAAGTGTTTACCACTATGGACGTGTGCGAGTTAGACTAAGTTAATGCTAAACCAAATGGGAGATTTTTCGACATATCACTACATTATCGGCACAACTTAGAATTTCCCTCATTTAGAACGCAACTTAGCCTAACTCGCACACATCCTATATAGCTTTATTTTGTATATTGAATTTTTGTAGTTGTGAATTAAAACAACTTTTGTTAAAAACAATTTTAATTATAGTTATTAATTGTCCACTACATATCACGAATGTATTCTGATAATGAAAAAAATTTCCTACTGGGATGCATATTAAAAAAATCTGATTACGGGACCTAATTAATTCTGTTTCTTTTATTGTATTTATTCTCTTTCATATATACACATACACAGCTGCATTAATTTAAAATTAAATAAGTGCAATTTTTAAATTGCGAAAGCTTTCTATAAATATTGTATTTCTGATTGCCTGGTATTTCGACCATTTTGTATTTCATTTGTGCGAAATGCCAAGGAATTTTGGAAATTTTGTTCCTCTCTATCGTTTCTTTCTCAAACCAACAACGTTGGTAATTTGTTTATTTATTTTGTTAATATTATTATTAAATTTATGTCAAGCCAGTATGGAAAGATAATTTAATTGATACAAAAATGAATTTTTTCCATAACTAATAGGAATAAAATAAATAATGAAATTTTATAAACTCTAATAAAATTTATTTTATTAAATTTGCATCGTGTAGTGCAAAGTTTCTTTAATAAATTAAGTAAAAATTAATTAAAATTTATGAACTGAACGTGGGTTAACGTTGTGGGTTAAAGAATTAATTATTAATTATTTGTTTAAGATTACAGACATAATATATAAATTTTTGTTAAGTTTAACTTATTGATAAAATTTATTAAATTCAATATTTGGAGGCGGATCCAAAATATAAGTAATGTAGTGATGATCAATTTTTCAGAAAAATATTGATTCGTTTCTTTGCAAATCGATTTCTTGCATTAGTACTCGTATTTTAATATGGAACGATTATATATCAGATTTATGATATTATATTCATATGATGTATATTCTATTTTTTTTTGTTTTTTCCCACTAAAACTCTATTCATAATTTAAAATAATATATATATATTAATGAAGATTTATATTTATAGATATATACTCATATCATATAAGATATTTATAAAGAGCCAAGTACTTTAAAATAAATGATTTCTTTTAATGGTTCATTGGTTGTATTTAAAAGCAATGAATCTTCGTTGTTAGATCAAAATTAACTAAACTTTAATTAAAATTTTTTCATTCTTAGCAGTAACATTGAAACTATAATTAAAGTTTTAATTTTTCTCAACTTTCACATCAAATTAACAAAATTCCAAATCAAAATATACAAGTCAAGTACGGTTTTGAGTAAGTTGGCAAATGAACACTGACTCTGAGCTTGGCGGGGTACGAATTCAATCCTTGGTACTTGCAGTCTCAAAAAGCTATTTCCAAATAATAAAATATAAGAAGTTATTCCAAGTTCACTGCTGATGGGTATATCGCAATACTCTAAACACCTGTATGGTCAATTCAATTAATTAAAACAATATAAAAAGAATTTATGTTGTTCTACTTCACTATTTTTCGAAACCTCTCCATCAAAAAATTTTTTATTGAAAAGCATTCAGAAAATTAAAATTAATGTGAATTTTCGATAGATCGCGAATTTTGATTTATAGGTTCTCCTTAATCAAGGTCCAATAGTTTCTATTAAAATAATGGTTGCTCTCGACATAACTTAAAAAATTTGATGACCATCTAGATTGTTAAATTAGATTGCTTGATTGTTAGACTCTGCAGTTATCTGATGTAAATGTAATTGAACCAAATACCTTTTAATTTGCTAAGATCCATTTTAGTCATTAAACTTTCTTTCTCTAAACCCCTAAGCCCGATTCAATAAAATTGTTTTATAAATAAGACCTCTATTAATTTTATGAGGTATTTTGTGTTTTTTTCTTATTTAAAAAGGAATAAATAATCATTAAAAGTTTTCAAATTTTACCTGTTCTCCAATCAATAATATCTCTCCTCTCCTTATATTCTCTTCAAGTTTTGTTTTGTTTGAACATTGTTGTTGTGGTAGTTCGCAGGGATCTGCTTGTAGAATCCCTTTGGGTATGGTGAACGGCACTTGGTCGTCATGCTGCACGAGTGTCTCAGAGATGTAGACCCCGCCGTTATTGGAACCCTTTCTTTGAATCTTAACAATCCTCATTTGTACAGGCCGAGGTGTCATTATTATCATTAGGATCTTTGTTTTGTTGAAAAGGAATTCGTAAAAATACTCGAAAATTACGGACAGTAGAATACGAAGAGTGATTCGTTTAAGAGTCGATTTCTCAACTTTAGCTATAAAGTTTTTTATCCATTATTACAAGTTTTATTTTAAAATCAGTCGCAGTTATGCGAAGTTTCGCATTTAAAATTACTTGCTGATTTTTTTGAAGAACTAATATTGACGAAATTAATTTCCGTTACGTTAAAAAATTACAATAAAGAAAAAATTTAAACACAATTTTTGTATATTTTTGCATTTATTAAAATTTACGATATATTTATTAAATTTTTATAACATGTTTTTTATTAAAGTATAATTTTTATTATATATTATATGTGATTAAATGGTATATGGTATGAGACGTACATTTTTATAAATAAAAAATGTTAACATATTTTCAACTAATTATAAATAAAGTAAAACATTAATTTATATATAAATTTCATTTTATAATAATCTTAAAATTTTTTTAAACATAATTTTTAAAAAATATAATATTTATATTACATATGTAAATGAAATGACAAAATTGTGATATTTAAATTTTATATTTTGATTTATTATATACAAAAATATTTGTTATATAAAGTAAATATTTATAAATAAAATTGTTCATACATAAGTTTTAATATTAATATTATTATTTGTATATTTTATTGTATATATGGTAATTTTCGTTAAAGATTTCGTTCGTTATTTGTGTTTCAGCACTGAAGATCGTAGGAGCTAGAGCAGAACAATTTTAGTATATTTAAAGGCACAAATATACGAATCAAGCTTTAGTAATTGGTTTATTTGGAATAAAATAAAATACATATATATAATATAATATGTATAGGTATTTTAAATGATACTATATATATATTTATCATAATATTCAAGTATTCAATGATGCTACATTATTGATCGATCTAGACTTATTAGTTAGAAATGTAAATGCTAAACTGTATGCTAAATGATCAACCATTTTAATACATATATAATATAAAAAATATATGTACACTTTAATATATATATACTAATAATAATAGATACATTTATTATAATATTATTACTAGGTATATAATTAAATTAGAAGTGATCTACTTTCACCGATACTGTATGAGCCGCCGCATTGCTTGGTAGATCGATATTATCCCATTCGGTATGTAAATTTTTTTCACTATCGGTCGCTTTGAGTGCTAATCCTAGGGAAGCGGTACGTCCAGCACAATGTGGTATATTGAGTGTTACGGGTACTAAAAATTCAAGACCTTGTGGACCGCACATAACAAGTGGTGAGAGCATTGTTTCACCTAAATTAAAAAAAGTTAATTTAAGATTAGTTTAAGATTATTAAATTTAATAAATTGTTTTATTTTTAAATGTTTGCAAACACAATAAAAAGTGATATCAAATAATAATTTGTTTATTAACAATTATATAAAATTTGTTTTTTTTTTAAAAATTAGGTATATAAGGTTAAAAATCTTTAGACTTATACTTATACTTATGATATAATACATTTACACATAAAAATCTGGATCTGCGTGCTACAAATTTTTTGATTTATATTTAATCCAAATTTAAGATGATCTATAACAGACGCTGTTTTAAAATTTATAGTGAAGTTACTGTGGACTTGGCACGATAAATTAATATATCAAAATTTAAATCTGGTTTCTGCAAATGTGATTTTCTTTAAACCAAACTTCAATATAATAAATAATAAACGTCACCACACACAACTATCAGCCACCACAACTATACCCCAGAAATCAACATATTAAAGAAGTTGATCTCATATAAGCTATCCAATCTTCTGTTGTAATCATGACAGATATATCTTATTAGTTTCAGACTTCTGACTAAGAACCTAACATAGTGGAAAGAATATATAGAACGGCAACTTAATTATTAAAAACTACGCTTAATATTAGCATTACGAAAACTTTGCATTGAGTACAAAGAAAGCTTGTTTAAAGCGTTATTGTATGTGATGGGCTTAAGCATTAGCTATTAATTAACTATTGTAACTGTCATTCGTGTCGTTTAGATTGACATCAGTAAATACCAAATAAGCAAGAGTAGGCGCTGAAAAAAGTCTGGCTTCTATTCTTGTTCTTTCGCTAGCGCTGATAATAAGCGCGAACAAGTTTAGGTAATTAGGCAACATGCGTTGTTTGTATGCGATATAGTACTTTATAAGGAGTATATATTGCAGATTCTCGACTCTTACTTGTTGATGCTGAAAAAAAAATATTCTTTACGGGCCCACTCTAAGAAATTAAAAAGTTCTGCCTAATATATTTAGTATCTTTAGGTATGTATAGTACATTGCCTAGGTTTAAGGGGTAGTCGTTTGTGTACACTTAATTTCTAAAACATGACTGTAATACAATTATAGATCCAGTAATAATTTTATTAAACTAAAGACTCGATAGCGCTGATAATAAAACTAATTATATATATATATAAAAACTAATTTAAATTATAGAAGGAATATATGCATTGAACACAAAATAAGTGCAATAATGAAAATGTTATAATTATTCTAATTATATATATCTAGTATTAGGACAAAAGGTTTTTTTAGATCTCTATATTTATATTATATTCCGTATAAAATATATATAAGCTGTTCTAATTAATTAAGGATAAGAGAATTATTGTTTTTCTGTTAGAATTTAATCATGACTTTGTTAATTCGTAAGTAGTATTTACATCTCAAATTAAGTTATTATATTGAAAATATTAAAAAGCTATTATTAAATAATTTATTTGAAATGTTGTATTTTATAGTTCACAACAAATTTGGATTATATGTTTATTCATTCAATATTCAATGTAGTCATATGTATGTATATATTACATTATTACTGATATTTTTATTATTAAACACGATGCCTCGCGACTGGTGTCAAAAGAGCTTAATTTTATATAAAAAGACCATCCAAAGTAGGTTGCTGTAGACATCAAGATAGATAGGCTCAAGATATTCTCTACGGACATTACTTTCATGAAACGATTTATAATTGGCGACATCGCAAGGGTTCGCGAAAATGACATGCAAATAAATCAATCATCTTCAGAATGGTGCTACAAAAACCAGACAAACACTAAAACAAAGTCAGACAAACTGATTGTGGAAACTGTTTCTATAAATACATTGGATAACATAACGACCTTAAATTTCGCTTGATCACATTTTACAATGTTGGCAACTTACAAAAATAATTGTTTCGACAATTTTTATACATATTTTTTAAATTATAAATTCCGGATATATTTTATACAGAATGTACAGTGGTTAAGGATGTCATTGAACAAAATATTGATTGGAGTGTAGTTTTAATTCATAAGAGTTTAATTTCTTCAATATCATGGAAGTGAAACTAAATAATAAATAAACTAAACTAAAGTGGTTCCTTTTAATTTAACTTGGTGTCCACATCTTTTTCTAAGATATAACATATATACCTACAAGACATTTTAGAAGAACAACTCCTATATTTAAATCGTTCTAAAAACAATTATTTTATATAAATAAACCGCTTAAAGACCGTATCACTTCTAATAAATTAGAGTATATACACAAAATAAGGAAAGTGAAATATTATCAGATGACCGTCCGTAGTTTAGAGAGGAAGTGTACGATTTTGCGGATAGATACTGTAATCTAATTTTTTAATTCAACTAAACAATATAGCAAAAAGAAAATCAAGGTTTATATAATATTATATAAAATAATACTTAATTTTTGTAATTATAACACTTTTTTGACAGAGTAAAAATTGTTGAGCATGTGATTTGTAAAGGAATAGTGTGAATAGATAAGTGAAAAATAGGGTTTTGTTAAAAAAATATGAAAATAGATTATTAGCATCAAGTGAGGTCGATAGAGGTTATAGACGATTACAATGTTAGTAACAATTTTTATAAATGTGTTAGGTAACCATTAAACCAGACCAGTATTAGTAAGATATTAAATTTTAACTAAAACAATACAAACACAATCATACGGACAACACACAACATATATGTGTATTAATATTCTCAACTTATATACAACATATAAATAATAATAACATAAAACCATAAAAACACACAATAAATATATTAGAGTTTTAATAGTTGAGCTGAAAAGGAATCATATTTATGTAAATAAAACAAAAACAAACCATTTTCCATATCCAGTGGGGGTCCACCAACAGCTTCGCCCATGCGTGGGTCACTGACAGTAAAGTAAATTTCTTGTCGCACGCCAGCAGGGATCGCGCCTGGCGGTATTTGTAGTGAAACATTCCACACATTGTCCGCTAAAGTACCGCCTTTTAAATCAAAGATTCCACGTGTCGTTGTAGGGTCTCTAGGTACAGCAGGAAATTGTCCCATACCCGGCAAACTAGCAGCTACTGGTGCTGATGTTGGTACTGGTCCTGCGACTGGCAAGGACATATTACTAGTGTATGGTGTACTGGTAGCATTTGGCGGTCCAACGGGTAGACTACCTTGTGATGTATATTGTGTTTCAATAGATGTACAACTATCGCCGATTGTTGTTGTCGTTGGTGGCGGAGGAGGGCCGGTGCGTTTCAATATATTAGAAATGTGAAATGGTGCACGCATTGAACGTGGCGTTGAGGGTAATGTTGGTTTAGGTGGTTCCAATGGTTCAACTGGCGGCCCTTGTACTATATTTGATGATGGTTCGGATTCCACTTTAGTTTCGAAAACTTCGTCAGATAAATCATTTGTTTCATTGGTATCTTGCAGCATGCCATGATTTAATTGATTTTCAATACACGTCGTTTGTATATCAGCAGCACTAGAGTTTTCATTTTCAATATCATCATCATCATCAATTTCACTTTGCACCAATGGCGCTTTACTCTCTGTTCTTATTGTAGACTCATTAGCTTGTATGACAGTATTTTCTATAACAGTGTCTGTAGATTTTTGTAAATCCGAACGACTAAGACTCTCATCGTCCTGATTTATCTCTACCACCGTTATTTCAGTTTTTTCCTCTTTTTTCTCATCGGTTTCATTTTCACGTGACTGCAATATACTTTCCTCTTTGGATTCATAAATGGGTTCTGGTCTGCCGGTATCACGTTTGGAGACATAAATTGGCTCTGCCATACTTTCTAAAGCCTCTCGACGAGTTTGATAAATTTGTTCGCGTAATTGCGCACGATTCTTTAACGCCACTTGACTGGCTTCCCGTCTACTTTGATAGATTGAATCACGATCTGATTTTTCAGATTGGCTGCTACTATGTGGACTAAATTCCCGTTCCATTTCTCTTTTACCCTGACTTATGCGTTCCTGCATTTCTTTTTTCGATTGATACAAATGACTTCTTTGCATTTCACGTTGCATTTCTCGACGAGATTGATATAGTGGTTCATTTATATCACCTTGTTCATTTGCAGCACCTGGATAAAAACGACGTCTTGACATTACCTCTGAATTTGGTGCTCTACGCTGTGCATCCAGCATATATGAATGTTGCTTGTTTTGATACATATCAGTCTGTTCATATTCTAAGCCACTGCTGATTGGTGTCATTTGTCTTCTACCAACGGAACGATCAGCAGTAGTGGTGCTGTGCCTTCTTACAATTTTACGACCACCTCTATTCGCTGCTGCCACTGCTTCAGCTTGTCGTCGTTCTAAATCTATTAGTGCTCTGTTAGCGTATAAGTCATCATGCTCATAGCCATTATAATCTGTATGTGATGCTTTGTGCATGCGCGGCACAGTGCCCAGGTTTCCATAAATATCTTCGGTTTCTAAATTCTGATACGTACTATTCATCAGTTCCTGTTGGTAATGACGTCCATACTGTTGTTGATCTCTATAATACTGTTCACGTGTTAGCATATTTTGTGTCGGCACACTTCCACTTCTTGATGCACCATAATAACGATCTTCAAAACCAGCTGGATATGTTGGATATTCATCGGGGTAGTATGGACGTTGCATACCGCGCTCCAACATTGACTGTTGACGTCTAAGACTGGATTTTGGTTTACGTTCCGGCTCAACCATACTGTTCATACGTCTGAGTGGACGAGTAGATTTTATTAAAGCGTTTTTAATTGCAGTCAATGGACTTTTAAGCATGGATTTTTTCTTTATTTTATGTGGTGGCAAGGGTGGTGGCGCTACACCATTTTCATTATAATACTGTTCGGATATTTGGTGATGTGATGCAGATTGTGCTGGTGGATAATTGTAATAATTGGATTCTTGTAAACGTTCATTATGATAACGCTGTGCAGAACGTGAACGCATTTGTGAAGGATGACCTGGAGGCGGTGGTGGTGGCATTGAATAATATTCATCATATCTTTGTTCGTATGGCTCCATTTCGCTACAGATGTAATTAATTAGGAGGATTTTTTTTTATTTAAAATGTTTATTTTTTTTTAATTTTGAAAATAAAGTTTTAAGTTAAGACTATTCAAGGTTCTTCGGGGAAAAACACTAAATGGATTTTGTGTCCAATTTTTAATACAAGTTTTATATGTTGCCAGAAATGTTTTTTGAGAAATATTCTATATTTGAACCAATAAAAGGAAAGTATTTATTAGTCGGATTCGTATAGCAAAAAAAAACAAGAACAAAAATTTAGTTAATTTATTGAAATTTTTGTTATTGTCTTTTCTTTGCTATTTGAATCTTTCTAACTTTTAAAAATAGCTTGTAATCATATGAAGCGTAGCTTTCGGCAAAAATAATTAACTTTGGCAAGTATTTATATTGAAAGTCAGTGTAAATATGTATATTATATTTGCATATATCATTTTTAATTGCAATTATATTGAACAACCATTTTTATCTAACAGATATTAGGTTATTCCAGTTTATTTGAGAAGATAATAATATGAAAAATAAGTTCCTCTAGGTATAGTTGCAATTTCAGTTATACATTATTATAATGGATAATTGTGTATTTAAATCTTCAGGAAATATTTGTTGAATTAAGTTTATAAACTTTCTTCAGGGTTTTTAATTTGGCTTCAGCGTTTGTAGAAGGAAGAGAATTTCTTATTAAAGTGTTTAAAAAAGTAATGTGTATGCAATTATCATATAATAAACCATTTTTTTATATTGTAAATACTCGCAATTATTAAAACTGACGTAAGGAGGAACTGTTGCTTTTATACTTAAAAACAGGAAATATTGCCAATTTGGTAGATATATTCTTTAGGTTTTTCGGGATTGGATTATTGGGTATTAAATGGTTGAATAGTCAAAAGATAAAAAAAAATAACAAGTATTATATTTTTCATGATATTTAATTAAGACAATAAATAATATATTAGGTTTCATAAAATAACACACTCACGCACAATATAATGCTTTCTCAATTTGTTATAAATTTAAAAAATATAATATGCTATATAGAAAAATGTTATATATTATCATTTGATTTTGCAAATACCAATTTAAGGAAAGCTTTATTTATATTTGTTTTAAATTTTAAACCGATCACCAATTTGAAATATTTATTAAAGTAAAAGAATATATGTTTTCTTATATAAAAGATTTTTGTTTTTAATATAAACATTTTTTTAGTAAATTAACCATTTGTTATTGGCTTGTTTATAAAAAAAATATTATATATATATTTTTTTAAGAAAACTCTACGAGTAACGCAAAATCGTACCCAAAACCTTAACGTTATGATTGTTATTTCTTATATTAAATAATAATTTTTGTTATATAAAAATTAGTTTGAAAATCTAAAAGTTTAAAATCTAAAAGGAAATTGTATTTCTTAAAGTAATTAATTTATAAGAAAAGTTTTAAGTTTAGTTTAAAATCGGAAGTTGACCCGAAAAATGTTTTATTTTTATTTTATTTAATTAATCTTTATTAATTTATTTTATTTTATTAAAAATTCCAAATTAATTTATTTTTAATTTAAAATAAATAAATTTTTTTTTTAATGTTAAAAAATTTCTGTTAAATTTTTCCTTTTGGTTATTGCAAAATACAGCAAAAATTTTATTTATTTTATTTACAACAAAATTGAGATTTTGTGCGTTTATGTGCGTTAAATGATAATTTATTTTTTGTTTTTGTATATATTATATATAGAAAAAATCCAAAGGGTTTTAAGTTGATAACAAAAAATACAATGGCCTTTAACCATACGAAAATGTAATGAGAGTTTCATGAATTAATGTATGATTTTAAAATTTTCTTATTTAATTTTTTTTTTCAATGATTATGCGTTCATAGTATAATTAATTAATAAACAAAAATAAAAACATTTTTCGTTAACACAAAATAATTAAAATTTGGGGGAATATATATAATAGAAAGAGAAATCGAAAAAGTCAGATTTGTATTGAGTTGGGAGACAAATGTTTTGGGAAAAGACTGTGTACTATGAAAATTTCTATAACAAAATATTTTACTTGTTTAATATTTTATTAATTTTTTTAAAATATTCATTTTGATTTTATGAATATACTTAAAGTTAAAAAATCACTCACCTCATGTTATGATGGTGCCCTGCTGTACCGATTTGTGGTTTACGATATAGTTCGAATGCTGAGCCCCGTTGTTCACGACTGCCTGCTAAGTCCAGAGCATGCCGTTCTGGCGTATGTGGTGGAAGATTACCTATTAGTTAAAAATATTTTTTAATATATTAAAAAATTTAGTACTTCAAAAAATTTAATTTACAAAATGGCTGTTCTAAAAAGTTGGTGGAGATACAAAAAATTACTACTTTAATACTAAATTAATAAATATTTTTTTATAGTACTTCTAATATATACTTAATGGAACTACTTAAATATATTAATATATAATAAACTAAAGCTTAATTACAATATTTATTTGAAATAAATATATAACAAATAAGTAACATTTTATTAATTCTTGTTTTATTAACTTTAATGAGGTTGAACTGGTCATAGACCCTGGTTTCTTAACGGTAAAAAATAAAAAAGCGGTTGATAGAGATGTGGTCGTATTAAGTGCTGGATATCTAGTTTGTAGACGAGTTTTTAAGTTGCCAAAGGAATTTTATTATCCCACTACGTTATTAGTTTTATAAAGTCTTTCGTTTTTTTTATTTTGCACAGATCTTTTACTTCTAGAACAGAAAAAAAATTTAAAATTGCAAACGGGGCTGCGGAGCACACTATCAAAATACTAAATTGTAATATTGTTTAAATACAATGTATTAAGACTTGATTAGCTTGAATCATAGATTTTCAATTACGTCATACAGAGTTCATAATCTTGTTCTGGAGATGTCATTAAAAGCTGTCTAAAACGCAATGAAGATGAAATGTAATTGTTGTTGTAGCCTGCTGGGAACTGATTGTGTAGTATCTTTGGGAGGTGTCGTAGTCGTCGACACGTAGTCGTCGATAACGACAAGTGGTTCCATAAAGTAGACTCGGTCGTTCTTGGAACCAAACTCAAGTGTACCAATGCTTGCTTTTCATTTATTTGAATGAAATTAATTTTTGAAGTTTTACTACTAACTACGATTTTTTTTCAAAAGTACCCTGATGATGATTTGAACATACATAACATATTATGATATTTACATGTTACATGAAATTTAACTACAATATTATACTATATGCGATAATTAATATTACCTTAACTACTAAATTCTTCTACGTTCATAATTAGTAACATTTTTTTATGAGTAGTAAATTACTTCTCAGTATATATTGAAATTACCATAGTAAAACTTAATAATAGAACTTAAAGCCATTGGCTCAAAGTGATTTGTCTTATTTTTGTATTTGTTTTTATCAGACTGGACTTCATTTAACGGATATTATTACCACCACTTACCAATAGGTGGTGGCATGCCACGATGTGGTGCAATATATGGACCAGTGCCGCTGCCGCCATTATAGTGGTGATTACTGCCATTGTAGCCATTTGTAGGTGGATATTGTGGTTGTTGACTATAATTGCTGTTGGTGCCATAGGTGGGTTGTATGTTATTATTAGGACCATGATGTGGTGAACCAGGTGTTTGTTGTGAGTAATGATGATGTGATGGTGTAGGTGGATAATAAAAGCCGTTGGGTGAACGTGGTGAGCCAGGTTCCTAAAGAAAATTTATATATTTATTTAAATCAATTCAATATTTTCTTGCAATAAAAACTTACGCCATTTTCCCAATTTGCATTGCCATTGCCAGCACCACTACCACCTTGTATTGGTGGTCGATAATTTTTGGGTTTTGGTGGCGGCACTGGTTTGAAGGGTCCACCGTTGTTACCATTTGTTGCAGCATTGTTGTTGCTACCATTGATATTTGGTGGTGGCACAACCATTTGTGGATTCTTCGGCAATTTACTGTAATCAGCTTGAGAGGCAGAATTGTTTCGACTGCTTAAGGTAAAGCGATTTCCCGATTCAGCGATTTTGTAAGTCCATCACATTATTTTTTGATTTAAATTATTTTATTTTTTGGTTTGCATGAGGATATAGGTGAAGTGCGTTTTTTACATAAAAAATATAACATACACAGACACATAAATAAACATGAAAAAAGATATGAGTATAAGGTGAAACAAAATAAAAGTATATTTAAAAAATAATGCACAAATTAAAATATTTTTATTAAATTCGTTTTTATTAATATTACAATTATAAATTAGTTCGTTTTTATTTTAATATGTACAGTACAAAATATTTGTAGAATAAGTAAACGCACGAGCACATAACATTTAGGGGAAGCACATATACAATTAAACAAAGGGACTTAAAAGTTTTAACGCAAGCTCTTTTGAATTCTTGTATGTATTATATAGAATTTTACTATAAAAACATGTCTAAAAATTCAAACGAGTGTGTCGTAAACCGATATATTTTGCACAGATGGGCGCATCAGTTTTGGACCCGATTGGTCATTAATAGTTCGGGCAGGTATGAAGCCAGTATTGCTAAGTGTAACGTCATTCATGTTTCTAAGCAGTTTACGAGGCGCCGCTATGGGTTTGGCAGTTGTGCGTTGATAATGCAAATGTACAGGACGTATATGTGAGCGGTATCTTTAAGGATAATTACAATAACCATACAATTGAGAAAGCAATTATATATATGACATTATGGATTTATGGTTATATGGAAATGGTTATAGTTACATTTTTATATTTTATATATATTTTTATTTTGTTGGCATGCAGTTATTTTCAATAAAAATAAAAGAAAATATGGATAATTATTTATTTATTTATTTACACTTAATTTAAATTTGTTAATAATATTGCAATAAATTGTTTATACAAAAAATAAATATGTCAGAGTTATCGTACCTGTACTTTCCATAATCAGTTTTTGTTTCCATTAATGGCTTACGGGGGCTGCCTTCGAGACCCAAATTTGAAGGGCGTTGAGGTGGTCCATTTCGTGGATCTAAAGGTAGCAAGAAAAATGTATGAATAAAGATAATTACAACAAAGATATTGGATATTTATTTATATGCAATATAAATTATTATTTATAAATTATTAAATTATAAATAATTATTATTAAATTATAAATAATTATTATTAAATTAATTAAATAAGTTATTATTAATACAATTTTATAATAATTTTGTAAGTATATAAAGTTTGCTTACATTACTACCAACAAATCTAAATTTGAAAAATATTACTTCGTATATAAACAACCTGCATAATCCAACAAAATTAAACCGAAGATTCATTATTTTTATTTATGTTTCTTTACTCACTTCGTGTTCAGTTCTAATCTACAATTCATAAACAAGAAGATATATTTTATTTCCATACCTATATTCCTCGCCGAGTTTATATCATGATATTGTGGTCTACCAGGACTGCTTTGCCGATTTAAGTCATTCGCACCTACAAAGTTACGGTGATCATGTGTGCTACGTGCATATTCCGGTGCCTGTGAGTTCATACCAGCAGGTGGTAAAGGACGGCCACTATTTACAAAAAAAAAAACAATAAAGTAGTTAATAAAAAATTATAAATAATTATTAAATTATCAAATTAACAACACAAAAAAAAAAAAAGAAAATAAAAGAAAATTAAAATTTAATACATACTTTGCATTTGGTACTGACTTGAGATCGTCGGGAGCATTTGGCCCAAGTCTGCCCAAATTTTGCATCGTTAGCTGAGATGTGTTGTACGAATCATAACTTGATACGCTATCATAACTGGAACCATTCTGCTGGGAACTATTAGGCATTGAGCCTTTACTACCAGGTAAACCAGTTGAGCTACCCATTGTAGCAGCATTCAAGCGTGCTTGCCGCTCCAACGAAGCATGTTGTTGGCGATCTATTGAATCTGTTGCTAAAGCATTGCGTGATATATATTCAGCTTGTACATCATCATTAACAATGGGTTTTCCAAATAAGCGTTCTTGCGCTGAACGTCCTAAAGTTCCACCAGAACTATTTGTACGAGAAGGTGGTTGCATTTCACCAGGTCCGGGTTTTGATTGGCGATCTATGCGTGGTGGCAAATCAGGTGCATTTATACCATAAAGTGATTGTGGGCGTGTAGAGGGTGTCGACGGATCAGACGAACCACCTAACATATTTGTGCCTGGTGGTATGTAGCCAGCATATTTACTAGAGTCTATTGTTTGGCGTCGATTTGGTGGTGGATTAGCGGAATGTTCATACGGAATCTATAGATTTTGATTAAAAGTGAATGTGTTTGGATATAAGAAATTAAAAATTTTATTAGTATCACTTGAATAACAAATAAGTATTCATAATAAGTGTTGTATACTTATAATATGTAAATATTATTAAATTTTTAAATATCAAATTATATAAATCTTAACTTAAATTATCTTTTATATAGAATACAACAGTTATGTATAATCCTATTAAAAAACTGAAATTTATTAATGTAAATAACTATAATATGCATGTAGAAATTCTAAAAGAAAGTTCTATAATGCAAACTTTGGAACCGGGACTAAAAAATATGAACAGAAACGTTTGAAATTATAAATATTATTTAGTTAAATTGGCAACGTTTAATTAGGCTTTTACGGTTAGATATATATTATCTAACCGTTATTCTATTATATATATTACAGTTAGAACAAAAAATTATCTCCCAAATTAATCAAACATTCCTAAGGAACAGCCCATATTTGTAGCTGCTATTCAGTTCAGTTTCAAGGTGATAAGTGATGGCAGTCAGTCTTGAGTCTTTTTGATTAATGGATTTTTTAAAGATATTTAATTTATGCAGTTATTATAATTTAACATTTAAATGTGAAATCCTGTGAACAATGATAAATCCCAATTTTAAATCATTGGGATTTAGGAACATTCCGGATATGCAAAATCAGCAAGCCAGTAGTTCTAGATTGTTAGTGAACTATTAAACTGTAGGTGATGGTAAATTTAAAAATAAAAAACTCATTATTATTGTGGATTTAAAATGAGTGTTATTATATGGAATATGCAAATCATATCAAACTCGATTTGAAAGCATAACTGATTTTTATTTGGATCGTAAAAAGGTGGAAGGATTAAATGTAGTGAAAAAAATTGTAGAGTTAAAAACCATCACATTCAAATTAAAGTTTGAAAATCGATATATTAGATGCTATCCATTTTAGTCGGGAATATAACAAAATGCAAAAAATGAAATTGTATAAAAACCATGAATGAGGTAAGACATGCCTGTCATAAGAGACGACTAATATCCCGGAGCCATTCCGACACTGTTTGGAGTCTGAATGGTAGTAAGTGAGTGTCTTCACTTGTGACACCTGACTGGAAGTATAAATCTGGCACCACGGGAGTCAGGTGCTCGCAGCTTTGGTTGTCCTGACCGACTGAAGTTGGCAGTATCGTGGTGGCTGTGGTTAGTACCCAAACTGAAGCGGGTAAAATGATTGAATTTTACTTTCATTTGGCGTGGACTTGCTTATTCACATCGGGTGCTGTGACCCATGGATCAGCAGACGGGCTTCACTTCTTACTAAAGGAAAATTAGGCCAAACACATAACTTCAATTAGTGTCGGCGGATATTTCTTGGAATTTCCAATGGGGCGTTTAAAGGCAAATTATCTTGACACGTGTATTTTTTAGAACACTGTAGTTTTAAACCTTCAAGACAGTAACCACTTTAAATAAAATTGGATTCAACTATTTTTACGGATGTTAAATAGATATCACTGAATAAAGTTATACAAATCTCATCAAAACTGATTTGGAAACTAAAACTCATTCCACTTTGGAATATAGTGTATTATTAGGTATGGGGATTGTATTAAGTAAAAAACCTTACAGAGTTTAAAACTATATTTTCCAAATTCAGACTTGAAAACTGATTGCCTTGACTTTCAATAACTTTAAATTACTGTTAAATGTAAGTCTCTAATATGTTGATTATTTATGTGGCAGGGTGAGAAATTAGTATCTTTCACTTTATTCCTTTTTGAGATTGTAACCGCATGTTTGAAATTTTTATTGTCTAAACAAACTAGTATCGGTTACTCCATATTAGATAAATTATAAATAAAATTGAGGTTCTAAGAAGTGGTTTACAGAATTAAAGCCAGGTGTTTCAAGTTTTAATTAGAAATCTATTTCAAGGAAATTTATACCGGCTACTTTAAAATAGTTGTAGACAAAGTGTGAACTGTATTAATATTGTTAAGGATGATTCGGAGCAGCCCAGGATATAGTGACGTTTTATATTTTTTTTTATTAATCAACTATTAACAATTGTTAAAAGTTCTATGTAATCTGCGAATTAAATATAATTATAAATATTTACTCTTACAAAATAGATAATTAATTCAACAATATGGTCGATTTCACATATGAGATAATGTAATGTATGGTATGGTATAAATTGACTAATAACGAATTGATTTGATAAGTGCTGAGTATAAGTATATCGGACTTCATTAACTGAGCCTATTAAGATGTCACGTTCATCTTGAATCATATGAATTTATATTTTAATTAAGTTATTCATAAAAATTATAAATATTGATCAATTTATTGATAACTGCTATTTTTCTGGTTCCTTATATTAATTAACATATTTAATTATAAGCAACGTTTATAACATATATTAAGTTCAGCACATGCAGTTAAAAAATATTAATAATTATGTTATAACCAATATAGATATTATTAGGTATATTATGTTAAATGATTACATATTATATATTTAATAAACTTATGTAATATATTATGCATATTAAATGTAAATACTCATGTTATATTAATAATTTTCTAATGATTTTGTGTATTGTTTGAAGTATTTGTTGGCCTCTTACCGTATATGGAGGTGGTAATCCTTCACCAATTATGTCTCTATCCCTATCCAAGTTATCCTGATTAGTTGCAATCGATGGATCTGAGCTCGATTTAACCAATTGTGGTAAATTGCCTAGTGACAATGATGCTGATGGCCCAGGACTTAATTCCAAATCAGATTCAGGACTTGATGCATACGATAAACGGGATGTGGTCATTGGGAATAGGAAATCATCGGATAAGGATTCAACGGGCTATTTATTTATTTTTAGTTTATGGGTGCGTTCATTATTTTTTCGGAACAGGATTGATATAAGGAAATTTGGGTTTAATGTTAGTATTGTGGTTATAGTGTTGAAAATGTCGGTAGGAAATTGTTTTTGTGTCAATATTGTTTGTTTTGATTTCGTATTGGAGAAAAATATTGAAAAGCAAATAAAATATTTTTTTTTGTTTTTGAAAATAGCAACAAACGTGGAAATATATATAACAAAATAAGATTTAAAACATAACAGAAAGTAAACAAAAATACGAAATAAAATAATTAACAAATTAGATTAAGAAATTCGGTATTAAATGAAACGTTTGATTGCCAAGCAATGTAAAAATAATAATTTTGTTATTATTAAATATTTTGGACGGACACATTTGTGATTTGGACGAATACACAGTTTGAAAATTGTTATTCCATAAAGTAAAATGGGAGCAGTTGTTGTTGTTAAGTTCGATTTTGGGATGATAAAGCAAGGAAATGACCGTGATGAAGTTGTTTTATCGCAAACATAATTTAGTTTTTTTTTTTTTAATCAGAAACGAATGAAACAAAAATAAATAAAAACATTTAGTTAGCAACTTTTAAATTTTTTTAAATAATTAAAATTTTTTTAGCTTACGAAATTAATCATGGAATTGTTAAAAATAAAAAAATATAAATTATAAATAAATTAATACTTATTTTTTTTTTGTTTTTTGTTGGTATTATAACTTTCAAATTACATTTTTTTTCTTCTTCTTTCTCATTCGTGTTAGTTTTTATTACTAAATAACAATTCCATAATTTATTTAAATTACTTAATTTAGCTACTCTTTAAATTGGATATTAAAGTAACGAAAATTACTATTGAAGATGTAGTTTTAGATGATGCCAGATAAAAAACGCATGCATAACACAAAAATATTAAAAGATAAACATATATATTTATCTTTATATATATAGGAACTAAATACATACTAGCACATATACATACAATAACGATTTTACGAGGTTTAAATTAATATGTATTTTATTAATTATAAATAATATAAATGTTGATTTTTAGTTACAAAACATGCAAAAAGAATTAGTTTGCTTAATTTAGTTGAAAAATTCGACTTTTATTTATCTTTTATGTATGTATCGATATACGATGAAAACATCAATCGATAATTTTAAATGCATTTTTAATTAAACTGTAAATAATTTATTTACGTAAATGTTCTTAACTAGATAAAAATATTTCAAAAACACTTAAAGTAGTAGTGAATAGTGAGTAGTGAAAGAATTTCATCAGAAGGTGTTATATGTGATTAAATTTCATGTCTTCGATAAGTAACATAGATATTAAAAGTTGCGGATCTATGATGCATTGAATTAATCATCGAAATGCATTGAATTAAGATGATTGAAACAATCATATTTAAAATTTTTGGAGTCACATGTGTACTTTTTTAAGAACGATTTTAGTAAAGGCAGCTATTTTGAGCAAACTTTTACATTACGGGATATGGCACTAAAACAACACTAAAATAGTTTATATTTTTTGTATATGTTGTATATGTTTTTTTTTCAGAATAGTGAATGGAAAAAGTTTGCAATTTGATATTCCAAGAAGTAAGCTATATCAGCATAAAGGGTAGTAGAGTTGCTCAAAATTACATTCGTTCTCATATTAAACTTTATATAATTAAAACTATTTTCCATGAAATGTTTAATCAAACAAAAAAAAAAAATTAAATGTCTACTCCATTAGGGACATGTATCGAAACATTATGAATTACCAACTATATACTGATAGTTATCTATCTTTCTATCGGGAAAGATAAATAACTTTCGCAATACAAACGATCTTCAAAGGTGTAGCGCCTCTGGTTCAGTGAAAATTTAATAACTTCTTTGACAGATGCTGGATTAAAGTTTACTTAAACTAATCCCTCACACAAGGTTATATGTGTTTAACTGAGACTTCTTATTTAAGCATTAACAGGATTAATGTATTCCTAATTAAATTTTAGATTTTGATAATTTTTAAATTACTTTGTCTTTAAATTAAATTGAATGTTTCTTTTAACATCTAAATCAATATATATATACATATATATATACATTCGTAAGACATTTGTAAACTGATCGTGTCTGAAACCTGTCTGTCTGCTATATAGTATTGCGGAAATTGGTATGTATTTGAAAATTAAAATCAAAAATTGCTAAAACTTGGCTTTAACTAGGCACCAGTAAAGTTAAATTTATTACTTGATTAAATAGCCATGTTTAGTAAGCATTAATGTAATACAACTCTGTGGTGTTTTAATTTAAATATGTGCCTGAATGTGTTGTCACACATACCTATTGTCAGTATATAATGTATGACATTAAACTTATTTAACTATTTGTTCATAAAATAAAACGTGCTTAACTCGTCAGTTCTAAAAAGTTATAAATTTTGGTAGTTAGTCTATCAAACCCGGTTAGCGTATTTTTGTATGGGTTTTGTATGGATATTGTGTGAAAAGTTGTATATTGATCGATTTAAGAACAAGAGTCTAAATATAACATAAGGTTCGTCACATACTGTAATGCTAAATGATGATAATGACTAATAGTTATGAGTAGATTAATGTTCACATTAAGGTATTAGTTCCATTATTCGAAACATGTAATACATGTTTCATAATTTATGTTATAAAACAGGAAAAAAAAGTATGCATTACTTGTAAGTTAAACATTGTAATTGAACGTAAGTTCTAAAAATAATTGATTTGATACGTTTATATATATAGGACATTTTAAAATGAACACTTACAGTGATCGTTGTTCTGCAAAAGATACTTTCTGCTCAAATTATAGATATTTTTCTATGTCATTACTTGTCAAGTCAATAAATACTTAAAATTTTTTCAACTAAATTAAGGCTGATTCTCATGCAATGCATTCATTGCTATCATCAACACTCTGAATCGATTCAGAAATATTATTATTATATTTAATATTATTAGTAATGTTATTGTTGTTATTGTTATTTTTACTGTTATTTTTAATTAAATTGTTAGCATTATTGGATAGTTTATTGGAGGAAGCATAGGAGGATAGTTTTCTAGCTGCTGGTATAGGACCAAAATTAGACTCGTCAATTAAAGTACCAGCGCTGCTGCTGTTACAATTGTTTAGCAAATTACTGATGGAACCACCAAATTCGATGCCACTATCGTTACCATTGTTACCATACGCTGCCAGTCTAGAGCTGCTGCTGTGCAACTGCTGCTGTGGTTTCGGCATAAGCGCTACACTGCTATTTAAAATGCTCGCACCAGCAGCAGCGGCGGCTGCAGCAGTAGCCGAACGATGTCCACTTCCAGTTGGTTCTGTATTGATTGTGATGCCATCAACGCAACTACGCTCATCTTTATTATCATTTAAAACGTTCAGGTTGGAATCAAACAATGCCGTTTTCTGCAGTAGTTCGTGGTAGTAGTAGGGTGTGGTGCGTCGTTCTGTTGAAGCAGCACGATTTATGTACTTCGAAGCACCACCAACGCTACCATTACCGCTACCAACAGCCATGCCATAACTCTTATGTGTGCTTAAATTTGCTTGTTTAATAGTGTGTAAATTTGCATTCGAATAACTATCATGCTTAGGCTGAGGCATGGCTAAGGCAATGCCGTTTTGTGTGCTACTCAATAGATTTGGCTGTGAGCCATGGTATTGCGATAGGGTGTCAACAGTGGTGGCATCACTTAAATCGTTCGTTGCTGACAAAAGTGTATGTTTTGTAGCCAAGCCGCCTGGTAACGAGGAGGATGGTTTCATTATTGGTACCATTGTGTAAGAATTCAAGCGTTGTGGTTCTCTGTTGGGTGTTGTGGGCGTAGATTTGTAAGCTTGCTCATATTTAACTGGCGGCGGACGTGGCGGTGTTAGCGAGCGTTCGATTTGTAACAGTGAGAATGAATTTCGCTTACCCATAGGGTAACGCGGTACAGAACTGGATGTAGGACGACAGCAAGGAAGATTGCATGGTGGTGCAATATAGGGTGGGAATATCATTTCAGTGGGAGAATCGGGTAGCTGTTTTCGTTGTTGTATAAAAAATAGGAAAAATGTGTAAATGTGTTAGAATACCCATCAACCATTTCACAATTAATATAGTTAAAGCTACAATAAAAAAATATTTAAGTTAGAAATTCTTCAGCACAATACTAAAATTGTTTGGTCGGCAAACTTTGAAGTCAAGCAAATTATATTAAACTTATATTCAGTTAAATATTTGAATGCGCTAACAGTCCCATGTGGTTATAGAGACAGACTGTTATGTTTTTTTTAAAATACCTAGGAACTGTAAAACGTCGAATATAGTTGACCTATAAGTGAATTATGAATTTTATATAAAGATTTTAAAATGCTCCAAAAAGTGTAACAACAACAAAGTTTATATATTAAAAAAAAAATTATTTAATAAAGTTGCACAATGTTTTTGTTTTCACAATAATTTTACCAACACCATTTAATAAAAAAAAAAAAAATTAAAAAAATTCCACAATTTATATAAAAAATTTATGAAGTGCAACATTCACAAAAAAAAATAAATTATCTTAAAACACTAAAATCTTCCTATGCTAAAAGTCCATAGGAAGAAATATTAATTCTCACCAAACCAAACACATACCTTTGATTCGGACATCCAAACAGCGCCGCTTTGTTGTAAATCCACAGCATCACGCAATTTTCTGTACCAGGATTCTTCGTCGCTAAGCACAATTTGTGTGCTAAATATATGTGACCAAACACGTTCCAACTTCTGGCACTGTTCCAACAGCTTTTTCGAACTTTTATGTGCTGATTTCGGTATGCCATGTCGCAATTGCTTGATTACATGCTTGCTGTCAGTTTTCAAGAATATAACAATCGGATAAAATTGAGCGTAATTGAGACGATCCACAGCATTCGGTGTTATATCTAGTAAAGCGTGTTTACCACGATCCATTATATCGCGTATGTTAGAAAGACGTACAATTCGACATTTTGAGTTCGACTTATCATCGTCTGATAATGGTGCAGTAAATTTGTCTTGAAAGTCTTTGGCAAGTTTTTCACGTGCCAAATCAGAGATCGGACCAAATAGTACCACTGGCCGTACAAAACCTGGATGACGTAAAACAACGCGTTCGTAAGCAGGAAACTTGGAAATTGAGTCTGAAAAAACAACATCATCCCAATTTTCACGCGATAAGCTCTTCGAACGACGGTGTGTGGAACTGAAAAAAAAATAAAATTTGTATATAATTTTAGATTTATACAAATGATTATAAAACAAAATTTCTGACAATAGTAAATACTTTATTAAAATAAAATTGTTCTTACCGTCTTCTTCTAAAGAAGTTGCCTCTTGATTCATTGGCATTCATTTCTTTTTTGGTCGCATTAAATTGTGCTGTTGCCAATTCTTCAGCGCGTGATTTATTCGGTATAACGCCACGTTGCATTTCCTGATGTCCGCGTCCAATTTTCAGCACTTGCCATGAACCAACTACACCATTGTGTAGGGTATCAATAACACGAAAAACATCACCGGCTTTGAAAGCCATTTCACCTTTAGAAGGATTATCGCAGTGAAAGTGTGTTTTAATATGAAAAGAATCACCACGTTGATTCGTCACCACCTCATCATATTCGTCCTTACAGTATTGTACAATTAGATCAATACGATCCTGTAAGCTGAGCAGGAAAAGCACTGCTTCTTCTCGTGTTACACCATGCATATCCATATCATTCACTTTGAGTATCTTATCGCCAGGTGTAAGGCCTTGCAATGAAGCTGGCGAACCTGGTTGTACAGCCGTAACAAATATACCTGCTTCATTACCACCGGTCAGTCGTATACCAACACTACCTTCTTTTTGGAATGATATGAAACGTGGTTCAGCTGATTGTCTGGGACGTGACAGTGCTTCATCTTCATACAGTTGCCGACGTGAACTATAAAAATCTTCATTGCCATTACTATTGCTACTGCCACGTGGTGGTGGTGGTCGTGGTGGCTCATCGATACGAGAACGTGAACTTTGTCCATTGGGTGGTGTTACTGGACGATCAAGTTGTGATAGCGAGACACCATCCATTATAGGACCACGTGAACGTCCTCTAGGTGTTAAATTACTTTTTTCATCATTCAAACCATTACCGGGACCATTTATAGATGAGCGCGTTGGCGGCTGCACATACAAATTTTGTGATGAATAACTAGCTCCGCCGCCTAAGTATGGATCATCCAAATTATTGCTACAATTGGATATTTGCGCCTGATGACTGGCATATAAATTCGATTGTGTATTTGAGTTATTTAATTGATTGTTCACTGTTGTGGCCGTTTGATTTGTTATATCGCGTAATACAACTAAATTCAAACGTTCCTTACAGCCATCAATAATTTTCTTCGCCTCTTTCAAACTCATTGTATCACCGCAATTGGTGTTATGTATTCGAGTTATAACATCACCTTCATGGAGTGAATAGCCATTGGCTATCAATTGATCACGCGCTTTTGTAGAGATCTCCTTGATAAAAAGACGACAGCCGAGCACAATGCCATAGTCATCTTTCTTACTGCCTTTGGATAGTGTTACTTTGATAGGTTGTCCTGCTGCGTTCTGCACCATTGATGAATTCAATGAATTCGGCTGACTGATGTTGCTAATACCGACTGTTTGGTTTGGCAATATATTGCCATTTGTGGTTAATCCCACTGAGCTCATACTGTGTGAGTGTTGATGTTGCGCTGTGGAATTTAATGGTACTCTACGTTTTACTACAAGCGTCACCGTATTGCCACTGTCCCGTAGAACCTGAACTGCTGTTGCGTATTCAACGTTTTCCAATGAAACACCATTAACTGAAATTATGCGATCATTAACTCTGCAAGTAAAGGAAGTAATCGAATTTATGAATTAATTTAATTTTATATATATTTATTTTTATATTTTATTAAGTATTATTGAAATATATTTACATTTATTTAACCTACATATGATATAAAGAAATTGGAAAACAAAATCAAAAAAAACAGAGAAGAATGGAAGGATGTTGTTAAACAGGCTTAGGTCCTACATGGACAGTATAATCACGGATGATGATGACGGTATAAAGAAAAAATTAAAAAAGAGATTTTTTAGGATAATACTTATTATTTAAAAATTTATATTGATTATCTTTCCACTAATGTTAATATGAGATAGAAAAAGCCTAAAACAACATAGTTTTTGATAAATTCGTTATATGTAATGTCAAATATTTATGATATTCATATTTATGATATGTACAATAACCTTATTTTTTTCTTTCAGAGTTGTAAAAAAACAGCATTAGGTCAGTATATTTAAATTAATTTATATACTTATGTATTTGAAATTATTAATGAAAAAAATACTCATATGATTTTGCAACATATTTTCAGTGAATATTCACAATAGACTGATTTTTGTAAAACCTAACTCTGAAGATTTTAAGAGCATTGTTGTTGCTTCACATGTTTTCTTGGAAGTATTTTTTTGCTACTCTGAAAGGAAAAAGTACTGTTAATATTATGCTCACATGTATTGTGCAAATTTAAAATGTAACTTTGAAAGATACAAATTAGATTTGAAGTCATCTCTACGAAATATATAACAGTTTTTATATAAACTGTAAAATTATAAATAGGTAACATTACAGTTTCTTGTATAAGCCTTGAAAGTCACTTTGAAAATAAATAAATAAATTAACAATTAAAATTTTAAAATAGGCTTAAATTCGATAGCAAATCAAGAAGTCATCGTAAGTAGCGACGAATAGGTTATTAAGAAAAATGAGTTAATTTGAACTTTTAAGAATTTCAGGCAATAATAAATAATTGCAGAAAAATATTTTAGAAAATACAGATATGCCAGATATATTAAAAAAATGTGTGTAAAAACTTTAAATTAGTGCTAGCATGACTAAAGAAAAATTTAAGTAATAAATTCTTAGAAAAATTTTAATGACTAGCGAATATTTTATTAAAAATTAATAGTTCATGACGAATTAGTGACAAAAATATTTAAAAATGAAAAAAGTATGATAATAGCAGAAAATATGTTAAATTTCGTTTATGTGATAGACAAGTACATATGAAGATTTTGAAATTGAAGGCAATTAGCTTCAAGTTGAGAAATATTCCGAAATATAGTGGTAGAGAATTCAAATATTTTCTTTGTACATATTTATTTTTGGAGAATATATTATAAAATATTATTATTCAACAGATTCACGTTAAAGCTCCACTTATGTTCGGCAACGAGAATTGAAATATAAATATGGAACGCTTCCAACTTCTGCAAGATTTAAGCAATCACAGTCTTGGCCATATCATGCGAATATTCTAGCCTAACAGCTATTCATGGTTTAGAACTTATTAAAATCTAAATCCTAAGAAAATATTGACTCCGAAATATAAATGACTTGGGCATTTATTTCGTAGGTAAGCAGAAAATATCACTAAAATTTATTGGATAAAACTCTTAACAAAGTAGAAGATCAGGGAGTCCAGACAATACATAGAGAAGGTAAATAGAAGTCGATTTGTGAATTTATAGGGAAATGTGAATTTATTGTGAATTTATTTATAGGAAATAAATATAATATATATTGGAATAAAATAATACGAAATATATTTGATATTAGCTGTATCGAAATATGTATTTATTATTTTAAAATATTATAATATTTAATAATATAATATTTCTAATAACATTTATGTTTTATTTTATAAATATAATATTTTAATAATTTTAATAATTTTTATAATATTTTTCATTGACTTGTAATTAGTATGATGAGAATGCATCAATATAAATGGTATCGTACAGAACTCCTCAAATTCACTGAAAATTATTTAAATAAAATTTTGGTAGATACTTCAGAATATTTTTATATAATCCCTCGGTGGACATAAAATTGACTTAAGTGTGTAAAACTGGCTATAATATAATAATTTTAAATTTGATTTTATTTTCGTTAACAACTTATTTTCACATCAACTCTTAATGAGTTTAATCGTACTGAGTTGCCTATTATGAATCCATAAATTATGTGTCATTTATGTCGTTTTTATTGACTAACTAATTAACACTGATGGACTTGGACTTATATAGGGAAAAACTTTTAATGTATGCATTAAACATTTTTATGTTATCTTTAATTATTTATTAAATAAATGCAGCAATTTTTATGTTTTTAAATTTCTACAAATATTTCTTATGAAAATGAATATAATAAATTAAACCGAATGACAACTTTCAATCAGCATTCGTCAAATTGTCTTTATGCAAACATTGTGACATGTCTCTATAATGGAATGTTTTATGAGCCAAAGCCCAACCCTTCAGAGACTAATAGATTTCAAAGAGTACATAACTACGTTTTAATGATCGTACGTGACGATTTTTTTTTAGAGAAAGTAAATGAAAATTAATTTTCTTGTGAAATAAGCGTGGCTAAGGAAAGCAATTTTAACAATTAACAGTAGCAAATATATTTATAATTACAAAGAAAAGTAAATAAAAAAATAAAAAATTAATAAAAATAAATAAATGAATATTTAAAGTCATAAAATACCTAAACACAAATAATGAAAAAAAAATAAAAACTCATAAACAATATTAAAAATTAATGAGATATTTGTTGGAATGTTATAATATAAAACATTAAACACAAAAAAAAAAAAAAGAAATACGAAAATATAGACATGAAAGATAGAAGAATTTTATAAAATGAATAATAGATAGATTCATATCTTTAAGATAATAACAAGAATGTTTGCATTAGAAGTAGTAGAAATAAGTTGGCGAAATAATAGCACTTGCCCCAAGACTGAACAAATCTAGACAACTATTAAATTAACCCAATAAAAATTAGAAAGCTGATTAACTTAAGTAGGACTGACATTTCTTTATTCTTTTTTTTATCTGGTCATTATCTTTAGTTTGACTGGCTATTATTTAGCAGCGGGGCGGACATACACGGATACTTGAGTTTGTTATTAACGAATAACAGAAAAAAAAAGCTCGCACGTATGGTGTACATTTAGGGTCTAGCAATGAGTAGGGCCAAAATTCTAGAAAAACTATACTTCAAATGCAACTAGGTATTAGGTTATGCTGGCAGACCAAAAAGGCCATGTATAGACCATTAAGGTACATTGAGATACCAGTTCAGAGTCTTATTTTTTTTTACCGTTTGTGTGCATCGCTTAGGATGCGTGTGTTATTAGCAAGTTTCATTAGGATTTCAACAGAAACCTCAGTTATGTGATCCAGTCCGGCAAAACTGGCAGCCCCCAAGTATTTTTGTCGAGTTTTCGAGAGAGCCGGGCAGTTACACAGCAAATGCTTCAGGGTTTCCTTTGCATCCGGCTCGTTGTATTTCCTACAAGCATTGCTGTGAATTAGGTTTAGTTTGTGCGCTTGTGATGCGACCAGACAGTGACTAGACAGTCAATACGCCAATTAATATTCTACAGTTCCATCGGCATTTTAGTCATGCACTAAGAACTATTAAAAACTGATATTGTGGCTTTATAAAATTCTCTAAGAAAATTAATTTGTAGTTTAAGCTAAAAATTTTTATTTTATTTTATGAATTTTACTTAAATAATATAAATATTTATTAAATTGTAAAAATCAATTTCGTAAAATAAAATAAACTTCTAAACTTCTAATACAAACAATTTTTTCAATAGAAAGGTTTTTGTCGAACAGTAGTAGTAAGAGCAAATATTTTTTAAAATCATAAATAATTTGAACTGTAATTATAAGTTTAATATATAATTTGTTACGTTTAATGAAAAATTAAAACAAAAATTAATGTAATAACATAATCTTATAAAGTCTACGTCAACCGGTCCAAAACGGTTTAATAGTTTATTTGACAAAATTTAAAGTTTTAAAAATTAGAAACATAAGAAATTTTGTAAATTTTAATAAATTAATAAATAGTAATATAACTAAAAATATAATAACTAAAACTAAAACTAACTACTATAACTAACTACACTAACCAATGACTAACTAAAAATAACTAAAATTTTTGTTGTTGTCTTTTTATTTCTATTCGAATCCTCTAACTTTTAAATAGTTTCTTTTCGTCATAAGACGCTTCACTTTCAACAAAAAAAATTAATACTAAATAAGATATTATTTTTTGGAAATCATATGTTGCTGAAATGATGATATAATACTTAATGATATAATAATTCTAACCGATTTAATAAGAACAACATACTTATTACGGATGTTGGTTGCAGTGGCAGGCCATTTGATAACTTCAAATGTACCTCAATTAGCGATTTCCGCCGTTTGTTACCACATTCCTCGCAAGAACCCTGGTATAGAAGAGTAGAGGCTCTTATTACGGATATATTGTAAACATTTAGTTTTACATTGTACGGTATGTCTTCATAGCAAAATTCTGTACCGAATCAAAATCAAATCTGAGCGAGAAGAAATCCGATACGAAATCCCATATAAAATCGAATCCCATATAAAATCGAACCCGATATAAAATCGAAGAAGATATGACATCTTTTTTTATTCGCTTAAAATAACAATTTTCTTAATGAATCGTTTATTGCGCTTTAAAACATTTGTTCTTCAATTAATGGCAATAAAAATATTAAAGGTGATATCAAATTTATTTAAGGTTTAAATTAATTAATGTACATTTCGTTCAAAAAAAATAAAAAGTAAATATTTGTTAGCGCAACTGAATATATATATATATATATCCAAATATATTTGCACTCAAACATACATTTCCTGTGAATTTGATATTTATCTCAAAATAGAAAGAAAAATGTATAGTGTATTCTGTGTTGAATAATACAACAGAAGTCATTTGAAGTTGGTGTATGAATAACACTTGTTCATTCAATAGATACTTGAGCAAAAGTATATAATAGAAAAAATTGTTCAGCTACAAGTGGTAGGACATGAGAAAGTATACCATATAAAAATGAGAATTATTTCTATATAAGAAGTAACAATGACACATTCTTAAGTGTTTACATATGGCAATGATTTATTTCGTTTCTGCTAACAAAGAATTTAAATTTATTTGTATCTCCGCTTCGGCTTAACTCAAACTCTACGCTACTTTGTATGGAGATTATAAATTATTATTACTACATACACTAAATTAAAATTATTTTTACTTACTGCAAACGATCTTCAGCTGGCCCGCCTTTCAGAACGTCACTGACTGCAATTGATGGATCACCATTAGCGAAATGAGGATTATCACGACCTCCAGAAACGGCAATACCAAAACCATAACCCGGCACACGCGTTACAGAAACTGTGTGATATTCCCATGTTGTACGATCACCCTGCAAATACAATAGATTAAATTTAATTATTAATTATTATTTATATATAAAAACTGTTGTAATTATTTATGTATAGAAGGTTTCATAGCAGAGACAATTTATTTTAAATGTAAGACTTTAAAATATAAAAATAAAAAAATTTAAAAAATTTTAAATTGGGTAATTATTGGGGTAATGATAGAGCTATTTTGTGTATTGCGAAATATTCATTGGAATATTTGTATTACCGATAATAGTCATCATCATCATCAGTTCCTATATCTCCCATTGAAGCATAGGGCTTCATTTGCAGTCATTGGAAATAACTGATAGTTTAATAATCCATATAAAAAATTTATTCAGCTAGGGTTTGAAACTCTAGATGTAAACCTAACATTTTTATGTGATATATTATTTTATTATTAAAAAATAGTTCTAATAAATAATTCTACTAAACTATTAACACTGCATGTGTGTTTATATGTTGCTCTGATATCAATCTTAAAATTTCCTTAATTGAAACCATTATATCGAGTACTAGTGGGGTTTCTTCAATAACATATATGAAAATTTGTTTCAATAGAGTTATGATAAAATCTTTATTGAAAATATTAATCAACGATAAAATTTTTTTTTGACCTTAAACGGAAGCATAGTTTAATTATAAAGCTATAGAGCAAAAAAAAATAAAAAATATAATTTAACTAGAATTAATAAATTTCTAGTATATAGAGCTATATTGTCACATAGCATAAAAACAAAAAATACAAATAACATTGAATTAAAATACTACTAACAGCAACTACAAAGAACAAAACTATCGTTTCAGAAGAGAAATTAAAATTTGAAAATAAATGGGATAAAATTATAACGCATGTCTATATCAGATTGAGAACTAGAGAAGAAAGTACATAAATAAACAATATATAATATTTAATGGCAGTGGTATGATCCTAAAGTACTTATAATTCAAAACATTTTAGACTCAACTTTATGTTGTACTGTATTTTTACCATAATCATATCGGTTTATATATTAATATATATGCAATGAGTCATTTTCATACATTGAAAGTCAAGATCAAATAGAGAATTCATAGTTTTAGGAGACTATGAATGCCAAAAAAAAAACAAAATAATAATAATAAAAAAATAAAATGCCAAAATCAAGAATACAAAGAAGAGTGTTAGAAACAAAATCGAAGGGAATTATGGGAAGAATAAGGAGTTATATTGTTAAAGAAGAAAGTAAAATAACTTAGTATGAATAAAAATAAAAAACAAAAACTTAGAATGTTTATATTAGTGACGGCCTCAATACTTAGGTGTTTAAATATGGCAGGACTTTTATTTGTTTTATTACAAATAATAATAGCATATTTGTAAGAGCACTGTGAAGATTGTCGAAGTAGAAGTAGACCGAAATATCTGTTAAATAAATATGTACATGAGTTAACAACAGTGACATTTTTTTTTGTTTTTATATAATATAAGTTATTACATAAAAATATAATTTTTAAATTTTTAAAAAATAAATAATTGAAGGGAAGTAGTTAATACTGGGAGAATGACTCAGAGAAAATTTATTAAACAATATGAAGACTACTGCACTAAAAAATTGGATTGAAACATTTAATAACAGAGATAAGTTTGAAAAGTCAAGAAGTTTGGTTCAAGAAGATATAGTTGAAAAATGGTATGTTAATTATAATAAAAAAGTTGTAGAGAAATATTTAATACAGAGATAACAGAGATAAGTTTGAAAAGTCCATTCTACGTTTTATTGGTACAAGGAGGTATAGTTGAAAAATGAAATGTTAATTATAATAAAAAAAGGGCACAATAGACCCGACGGTCGCAGTGCCATATACCTTAACAATATATAATATAATAATATAATAAAAAAAGTTGTAGAGAAATATTTAATACTGTGCTTTACTGATTCAAGCAATTTTGTTAAGAATAAGAAGACAAGTATAATTAAAAAAAAATTTTATTGAAACATTTGTACTAGAAAACAGTTAAAATCACGCTTTACTTAATCAAGAAAATTTTGTTGAAAAATAACGGACATATTTTATAATTAATTGCAAAGCTTAAACCAGGTACGCTTTATGTTCAAGCTTCTGTTTTAAAAACCATATGTTTCAATTAGTTAAAACTGTTTTCTACATATATATAATTTTCTACACTGCACTATCTCATGCAAAAACACATAAAAGTTAAAGATCTCTGATAACTTTAATACTGATGCATGTAGTCAACTATTCGTTATATAGTGAAAACTCTCTTAACGAATAGCTATTATGATCGGACATATCTTTTGGATATAATTTTTTATCATATTTTTGAATTAATTGTTCAATTCTTGGTTGAACACTTCTCTTAAGCATTCTTCTCGGCTTAAGAACATTTTCTTTGTATTAAAGATATTGATGTTATTCTATAAAAACAAATGTATAAGTTGGGGTTAATTAAAATGTAAAATCCGCTACTGTATTTGCATTTATGTTCACAGCTTGTATGGAGTATGCACCACCAAGAGGCAGAGGCAGAGTAGCATAAATTCAATTCAATTAATTTTAATAAATTTTAATTGATAATTATGTTGTTAAGGAATTTATGTTTGGCAAAAGAAATAAATAGAAAATTTAATAAAAAAAAAATAAAAAAGGGAATACTAAAAAACGGAAGTGCATTACTGTTTCCGTTTGCATAAAAAATTTATTCTTCTTTTTTTTTGGTTTGCGTCTGTAGAAAAATATTTTTGCGTTGACTAAGGTTCGACTTCATTCTTTACGGATATAAATTTTTATATACAAATAACATTTATTTTTCAATATTTTTATAATGTTCATCATATATGTGATCATGTTTGTTTGAATTTTTAATTTATTTTTGAGTATTTTTTTTATTCACATTTGCCAGCATGTACGGATGAATGTCTTCAGTAATTTATACACAAAATAAACAGGAAGAAGTTTATGTTCTACGGAGTCATGGAAGCAGATATTGTAGATCGTAAATAATTTTGTAAATTAGTTTCAAGGGAACATATGTTTGTGTACTATATTTTTGTGAATTAGTAGTCTTGAAATGCTATATGCGGAGTCATAAAATTGTGACCGACCATAAAGTTTATGGAATAAAAAAGGATTTATTATTTAAAAATAGAAAAACATGTTCTAGTTGAAGATTGCAGAGTGTTTTGTTTGTAAGTAATTTAATTTTAAACAAAAAAATAATTAAATAAATTTTCAAACAAATGAAATACATCCAAGACATGTTTTTATTTTGTTTCCTTAATTATTTTATATTTATTATCAGACGTTTCAAATAAAAAATGTCTTGAATTGCTGTAAAATAATTTATTAACTTATATTTATATAAATTTAAAGTATAATGTTTACTAAATATTTCTCGAACATTTTGAAATGATTATGCATTTAGTTTGCATATTAAATAAACTTGGAAAATTATAAAACTATTGACATATACTCATGTTCCACGGAATGCCTACATGAACATGCTAAACAGACGGCGAGTTTCACCGAATGTCTAAACTTCATAATAGTTTCGGTATAAATTTGTGGAACGGTTCGTCTATTTGTTGGTGAGGTTCGTCTCTAGTGCACGCGTATCGTATCTGAAATATTCGAGGCTCATTTATTTACGAAATTAACTTCATGCACTGATGCAGGTGGGCGCTTCACATTTTATTTTTAGCAGATGCACCTTAATTTGTATGAAAACATTACTTCCGAGGCGAGAGGCTCGAGACGATTTCCTCATAAAGACACACAAATTGACTGGCTGACTTTTAGTATAATTTTAGTTTATGTCTTGCGTTTTAGTCAAAATTATGTTAATGTTTTTATGCCCCCCAATAAATTTGGTGCTTTAGTTTTTCTCGTTTTACGGTTTCTATTATTGTTTTGAGTGGGCGGGCAGGCAGGTGCTGTATAATTTATGTACTAACATTAAACAAGTACTAAGTTGCATTTTTAGTTGTCTGAAGTTGCATGCTGCTATGCACCTCGAAACCTCAGGTTTATATTTTATTATAAATGTATTTTTTTGTTTAGATAAATTCAAACTAAACTTGAATAAATAAAAAAATATTTTGTAATTGAAAAATCTCATAAACGCAATTTTAATGAAGTACTAATAAATAAATTTATTTTCGCGTGTGGGCTTAAGAACTGATTTGAATAATGGTTTTATTGTGTATTTTTATTATGAAATTAAAATAAATGTTCATTGCATGAACTTTCGATTTTAGTATCGTGTTTGCATTGTATTTTACATTAACTCATTGCTACTTACAACATATTTGGGCTAAACTTTTGTTTTAATTTGGCGTAATGAACGATATATTTGTATCTTACAAATATATACGTATATATTTTTTACGATTCTAATGGAAGTATAGAAAGTAATTTGAACATTATTGGAACTAAGTATATATTTACAGTCTAATTCATAAAAATTTCTTATAATGCTTTTTAAATGCATTTTAGGCAGAACGTATTTTACACTTTACACTGTTAAATTCCATTTATGAGTATCATTTTTGATAAACGGTGTTATAAACCTTCTATAACTTTTTATGAATTAGACGGTTAATCTTTTTATTTCGTACAAAAAACATAGAAATCGTAGCAAATGAGAATAAGTCTTGAATCTTAACTGAAGTCAACCACTTCATTGAAATCATTCCAGCTTTTGTTATAAAATGTATAGTTCTGCTTGTATCTCCTTCAACTTATGTGACCCCACTGAGTTGAAGGATTAGTCGAAGTAGACCACGAAACTACTTGGGTCCTTTTTCGTCCTTCGATTCTCGGATGTTGTTATTGAGTTAAAGCTGGGGTGGCTTCCGTTCGCATAACTACATATTTTGTTAATGGAAGCAGTTTATTTAGCTTGAGGTTTCCTGCCAAGTCATCACCAACCCAATGGTGTCCCAAGACAGTCTTCCTCCTACTTGCCAGTGCTCTTTTACGTGTTACTTAGACGCTC